TCTCGAGTTCTAACTTAGTCAAATTTTAATATAAGATGTAGGTCATCACATCCTATAATTTCTTACACAGCAACTAAACCTCATACGTTGCCTTGCAGCTTAATGTTAAAAACTAACAGGCGTTCATACTATTTCTGCTTTTTCAGGATGCGTATTCGCCGAACTCCTGTCCAGCGAGGCCTTATGGCCTGGAAAGAGTGACCTGGATCAGCTATATCTGATAAGGAAGACATTGGGAGACCTCCTGCCTAGGCACATGACAATATTCTCACAAAATACGTTCTTTCAGGTGGGTTTTCAATTTCATTTTTCGTCCATGTTTAAATAATAGTGAGGGAGTCACATTCGTCGGTACTTTTCTCTAATGAAATTCTAGGTTATCGATATTTCTTCCGTCTATATGACGGACTCTACATTTTTCGTAGTCGTAGGCTCTAGAATAAAATTGGAATGCTCGAGATGTGTGATTCAGTTTTCGTTAGAGGAAGGTACAGTCCGCGAACAAAATAAGCTCCTGCCTACTAACAAGTTAAGAATAAAAAGCACAAAAGTAGAGTTTACGAACGAGTTTTACTAAGTATGGGTACATAGAAATGTCGAGAATATCGAGCTATTTCAATTGAAACGCACTTGAAGTCTCTTTGTGTTTCAGCTTTTGTCAAATAACAATGAAACTTTTTCACTGCAGGGTATGGCCTTACCGGAGCCGACGACAATAGAACCATTGGAAAAGAAAATCCCTCAGCGATATGCCAATAACGAACTCATTATAGACTTTTTACAGGTAAGTTACATAATTTAAACTTTTTGCTGCTCGATCAGAATAACAAACATTTTTATAAAAAAAAAAATTAATAAAAGTTGTTTTATGAAAGTCGTAAAAGACATTTATTTGCTGCAAATGGCTTTTAAAAAGCGTTTTTAAATGTCCCTGTATTGTAAGGGTTTTACCACTACCACTGATTTGGGACAGCGTAGAAACTCGGTCTTGTCAGCCTCATGAGTATAATATATGAAATCTTGTAGCAGAGTTTTGGGCTGACACTGTGTAGGTTTGTTGTCGACACGACAAGAAGAAGTGGAGATGGATAATAAAACTCAAGTTTTTTATTATCCATCTCCACTTCTTCTTGTAAACGTCGTCTTACAAACCTAATACACAGTGTCAGCCCAAAACTCCGCTACAAGATTGGCGTCAGTAGCAATCATTAAATCTTCCTGCGTGCAGTTGTTTGATCCATCTCTACTGTGCTTATGCGTGATTGATATCACTTGTATCGTCCGCTCACCTAAAAGGTCACATAGCGACTTGCCTAAAGGTTGATTTCATAATGGTTACATTCAACCGTATTGTATGTAGTATGTATGAGGCCTTTGCCCTTTTGTAGAGCTGTTACTTACTCAACTGCTATAAATCGCGTTGTTGATTCCAATAACAAGCACAATAGGAGTATATTGGACAGAAACTATTATTTCCATTGGGACATCCGTATTGAGCAATATACAGATTAAGATGAAATAAATTGTTTGATTTTGTGTGGGCACACACTGCATTATCAATATCAAGAGCTTATGGGATTATTCTAATAAACTCAGATGACGCTACTCCTCCTTTTACTTCTTATAAACATCTCCCTAGGTTGTCTGGAAGGAATCGCTTTATAGCGAGAAGACCCCCTAAATTGTGCCGTCTCTACTGTGTATTCTTTATTTTCATTTGTGTAGGTACCTAGTGTACAATGGTGTTTATGTGAAAAACTGCGAGTTACAAAAACTTGAATACTAACTGCCTGTCACGTTGTCTAATTTTATAATTGTTTGTGCTTTCAGAAATGCTTAGACAAAGACCCCATGATGCGGTGGACATGCGAGCAGCTGCTGCGGCATCCCATATTCGAAAACTTCCTATTCACAGTGCCCCATTCAGACCATGAAGAATACGAGAAAGCGCGAAGAGCTCAGGTAAACACAACATATTCATTAATAGTCCTTCGAGCCGGATAATTTCCATTTTCCCAAAATTCTTTTGTGACGTAAAATAGTCAATTTCTATCTGCTCCCCCTGAAACCTGTTAGACTGAGTACAACGAAAAACAAACTCATTTTCATCACAATCATATGCACAGAACCCACTATCATACTTAGTTAGGTATAAATTTGTTTTTCTGCACCTTTTTCCGAACACAGCAAGAGTTTATGCAGCGGAGGGATGGTACCGAGGACACTGCTACTCCTCCTAGCGACACCACGGCCTCCAAGAAAAGCAAGGGCAAGAAGTGATGGTGAATTAAGTTACCTCATCTGGCAATGCTAATAGGTGTGATGTGATTGTTTCACAAGAGTAAGATTTAGACTTCTTAAAGTTGTTGATATAATGTTTTGGTCAGGTAGTAGTGTTCATACTGAATTGAGAAGTACTTTTAGATTAATTTATAAGACGTAGAACTGTAGTACACGTATGATATTAAAGACGTGCATTTCTATGAAAGAAGTATAAGGATTTAGGACGCTATTTGGATCAAATATGTAATTGCTCAATAATGAATAATAAATAAATAAAATAAATAAATAAGTAATCGTCACGGTCGTTCGGAATGGGGATGTTGCCTGGGTCAAAAAGCAAGAGTTTTAATTAGTCCGTCAGTTAACTTATCAAAAAATACTCTACACGTATTTTTCACTTTTTCAAACTAATGAAAATTTAAAGAGATAAAGCGCCCAAAAGTTCATAAGAAGAGGCCCGTGACGTCAACGCTTGCTTAAAAATGCCGCAAGTTGTGACGTCGTGCGCAACGTCTACGCACCATAACAATGTAATTATTTNCGGACTAAAAAAATTTTTTTAGGCAACTAGCCTATTGGTCCCGTATATCTCTGGGTCGATAACGGACAATGGACGGTGATAATATGGTTGGACTTGGGCTGTTGACGCAGTTACTGTAATTATTAATCATGGACTGTCGTGTAGTCGTATTGATCGTAGCTTCTTTTACATTTTAAACCTTAACGTATGGAACTTAGCTACTACTGAGGTAGTTACTTTCTAGGTAGAAACGTAGGTATTTCTCGATTGATTTATGTATTAGTAGCCTATCATCTATCATCATGAATCTTGACAATTAATTTTCGAGTGAAGGTTAAATCCTCCATTTGCCTCTTGTAAATGAAGGCGATTACCAGGACCTTACTCTATAGTGGCGCCGTCATGTGCTGCTCATACTTGTTTATAAATTTTATCTTTAAAAGAATCAATCACATGGACCAGCATTACTAAACTCCAGGAATTATTAAATATTGACATAGATAGTGACAAATTGTACGATGAGGTTGGACTTTTGCGTGAGGTGCAACCACATCTTATTGAAGAAAATCGAGTGGATTTACGCTGGGTTGACTNCCTTCCTTGCTCTAATAATGCCTCCTTCGAGCGCGTATTCACCGTGATTGAGCAACCATAGAGCCAGCCCCCCCCCTCACAATTCTCCCGGGTTGGTCCTTTCAAGAGTTGGCAACCCTCTAGTCATGGTGAATGCTAATGCGATAGTCCTCCTATCGCTCCAGCGCTCACCAATTAGCAACACGGACATAGCCACTAGCTAGCGAATAAAATGACCTTAATGCATAAGCCGTGTGGTGACGGCAGAGTAGAATACATTTTTCACCAACCCCTACTCTTCCCGCAGGTGTCGTAAGAGGCGACTTAGGGACTACACAACAAACAGAAATCGGGCAGCAGCGCTGAATAACATCATTCTTGTAAACTGCGATCTCCACGCCTGCCAAGCGTGGGGATTATGAAAAAACCCTCCACTATAGTGGAGGAGGCTCATAGTCCAGACCAGTGGACTGTAAAGGGCTGTTGATGATGATGACTGCCCTCACTGCGCCAATTGGTGAGGGCAAATACGAGAGCCATCATTGAAGAGCGTAGTATTACAGCAGGGTCTGTAAGTGCCTTTCGTCGTTTCAGCCGAAAGACGTCCNTACTCCCGCGACCTTCACCAGATCGTCGGTCCACCTAGTGGGAGGCCTGCCCACGCTACGTCTTCCAGCTCGTGGTCGCCACTCAAGAACTTTCCTGCCCCAGCGGCCATCAGCTCTTCGAGCTATGTGCCCCGCCCACTGCCACTTGATTTTAGCGATTCTGCGGGCTAAGTGCCTTTAACCTGATTATATTCCCAATGTCTTTGTATTAATACTGTTCTTTTACTTCCCAGGTGCAGTCATCGCCCCTGCTGCCACAGCTGATTGTAAACGAGCGGGGCCACGCCACCAAGGGCAAGAAAAGTGAGATGGACGCGCGTAGCCACCTGCCCACCATATGACTAGCGCCCGTCGCGCGCCCGCGCAACTGATTGTGATTAAACCTTAACTGTTTTACTATTGTGTTTTATTTGGGCTATTTTTAAGCCCCAAGATATTTTTAATTTTTTATCTTTTTTTAACCATAGTATCTCTATGATGAGGTGGACCAGATCACAATACTACACTACTAAAAATAACTAAAGATGCACATAGTGCTGCATGATTCTGACTATTTTGACCCTTAGTTCCTCAAGTTGTGATCCTATAGGAAAGGGAAAATGTTGACCAACACACTGCCTCTGTGGGTATTATACCCTTCTATTACACATATCCCTACTGAGACTTATTGAGATAGATTTGGGAACAGAAATAGCAGTAGTCAAGTGGAATAAAAGCATGGTTCACAACCAGGGTGGCAGCACATCCTGGCTAGATACCATGGTTTCACAAACAATAATGAATTAGTTTTTATAAGTTTGTAATTTATGTACTGCCCGATTAGAAATATTGATATCTGCTGATAGTTCTAAACTAGGTATCAAATATTGATGAATTGACATTATGAGAATTAAAATTAAATGAAGCATACTTTTACTTTAGAATTAACATTTATTTTATTTACTAATGTATAAATATCATGACATAAAATTTCTACAATTTCAACACAAGCGAGAATAATCAACTTTTAAATTTCTTAATTACATATTTACAAGTATGTGCACGGTTCTTCGCTTAATCCTTGGATGTTAATGAAAAGCTCATGTTTTTAATCATCTGTAAAGAGACAAAATTATTGAACAACTACAGTTCGTATGGAGGACAAAACCTACAAGATTTGTTTTTGTTTACACAAATAGTCTTTAGTTCTGGTTTTTGATCTCATAATTATACCTAGTTACATAAGCTTATGTATTTTTAGTAAGCTAATACCAAATCAGTTTGATAAATACCTTTATAATCGGCAGTTTTTCTCTCTCTTCAGGAGAGACTAGAGTATCATTTTCCTGGAGCTTGTACCAGCCATAGTGCCCGCCGATGATCATTGGCACCATCACCAAAGCTACTATATTTCTTGAAATGAATGGTTTGATACTCATTTTATTTTATTTTTACTTTTACGTTGTGAAAGACACAACACAATACCAAAACAAATTTTATGTCAACTGTTTTTTTTAGGTTATAATAATATAATATAACCCACTAAAATAAAAAGGCAGTTACCCAACATCGAGTATTGTACAAAATCTATGTCCAAATCATCAGCTGACTAGCATTATAATTTTGCCACATTAAATTAGAAAACGAATGACAGTACAATGTTCGAATACTTAAAACTATAAAATATTAAAGTGAGATATTAAAATATTATTAATTATAGAAAATCGAAACATACAACAATACAAAACAAAACAAAAGTTATCGAACCAAAATTAAGATAGTTTACCAAATTTAACAAAGAATGAAAAGGAAACTTTTTTTAACTTAATTTTTTGTTTTTATTGTTTTGGGTTTTGGAACGAATCCTTCAAAGACAATCAACACGTTTTCTGTGAAACAGCCAATAGTCAACTAGTTTGATGCAGTTTCCTACCAATAGCAGTACGTTTTGTGATCTGTCTCTGATAAAATAATTTTCTTATTGGCTATCTCTGTCTGACACAGATGACCATCTGACAGAACGAAAAGAAACTGAATGACAGCACAGAAACATGGTGGCATCTCAGTGAAGTGGGCGATATTTTCGGCTAGTCATTAAAAAATTCAGAAGCTTATTTAGCAAGTGTGTTTGATACAAATTGTAAGTATACAAGATGAAGAATAATGTGACTGATCTTTTCCGCGCAGGGAAGTCTTAATAGTGTCGAAATGTTTAGGTAAACACCGCATCAATAAGCTTCACACATTCAGGATGACGTCTGAAGAAACCCAGATTTCCGAAGAGCTGAAGGGATGTTACGAGAATCTTATCGTAATCGACATCGGCGCAAACCTGACTAACAAGAAATACGGCCGTGATCTCGATTCTGTTGTTCAAAGGGCAAAAGATGCAGGTATGTTGTTGAAAAAGTATTTTTGGCCTAAATTGCGTGTGTAGTGCAATCCTCGTCTGTTAACGAGCCGACACTCTCTGTTACCCGCGTAATTAATTCACATTTCAAATGATTGCGCTTGCGCATTCCATGAATACTTGATTTATTACTAGTGGAAGTAGAAATTCAGTCGTATTTTATAGATCTAGTTGATTCCACCAAGAATTCAGTCCATAAAAGTTGGCGTTAAACAAACATATAGCCTACAAATATTTTTAATTGCCGTGTAAATTAATCTGCTCCGGTTTCATTGAGCTTGACGTTGCTCAATTATTTAACAATTGTACACTGCCATATGGATTTTTGTTAGGCAATAGAGAAAGTAAAGTTACTTATTACATTCACCTAAATCATTAAAATGTATGTACGAATTAATTATCATGCTTTTATTATTATAATTGGATGTTTTTCAGTTTGCATAATATTGCCTCATCTTCTTAAAATATTAAACCCTTAACACAGTTACATGGAATAATTAAATATAAAAATCAATTAAATACAGTATTTTTTATTTCTTTCAGCATATCACCATCATAAGACCATCTTACGACTATTACGATTAAAGCCTCAGAGATCTCTGTTATAAATAAATAGTAGAAGAAAATACTAGGTTTTGATATTAAGTTTGTTCATCGCTATTTAATTTTGTTTACGCAGGTGTCCAAAAGATTATGGTCACGGGAACATCAGTCCGAAACAGCAAAGAAGCCCTCCGACTGACTCGCCTCTATCCTGGTACAATTTACTCAACAGCAGGTGAATAGTTAATTTAAAAATAATTCTGAATCATCAATAATATAATCTATTTTTGCATGTAAAAACATGTTTACTTTTTCTTTGATAATAACATGACATTTATTTAACAAATTCTACTTGCATGTATATTACTAAAATTCAGATTTTGTACACTGACGTGTAACACAATTCTTTAAATGTCCGTCCAATTGAAGTTGATAGACACACAATAGACGTTGTTTCATTAGCCGCTTCGGCGACAGCACGTCAAACCGTATGAAATTGAACATCGCTGTCACTTAGTAACCGTCACGAGGATCGAACAAAATGTTTATTGCATTTTGAGTTGTTAACAAGGGGCCATCTATAAAGTACGTCACACGAATTTCATGATTTTTTGACCCCCCCTCCGTCCTTGTCACAGGTGGTCACATTTCTGAGACCCCATATTCAAAGTCACTGTCTCTAATACCAGTCCTTTTTAGGCTTCCATACCCATCACAAAATCCTCTTAATACCTCCCTATCTGTTTTTAATGGCTGTACATGTATTTCATGAATCATTTCATCGTCATGCCTGCTGTTCAATCTTATTAAAAGTGCATGGTGTTCAATCATGTACTGTACGTATCTCTTTGTATAGTTCAACTCGCATTTGACTTGGACAATTTATTCATCTAACGTCGCGCACCTTTAGCCTAGGCGCAAACCACCGACTTTTATTTGAAAATAATATATTCCGATTCTAATTTGTATGAAGAATCGCCAATACCAAATCGGTGTAATGTGCGTACTTTCATACGTGTCCATTCGGTGCAATGAAAACTATGTCAGTTCGCAGAGGCGGTTTACTGTGTGTTTTACTTTGCTCTAATTATTTAAAAGGCCTAATGCGTAGGCGCATATTCATAGCCGTGACGTGATCGTCTCAACATCGAGAGGAAAATCGGCTGCATAATAAAATTATTAGTATTTTTTCCTCAATTACTTTTATATGTTCAATTTTCTGACTATAAATGAAAAAACTTTCATACATACTAATCCTTTGTAAATATTCAGCGTTGATAAGGTGTAATTAATTTACCGATTAATTGACAGATGATGAATAATTATGTTTCAATTGCATTATGTCTTGTTTGTTTAAGTCTGGGATGGATAACGTTTATTATATCCAATTATTAGGATTTGTTTGAGTTCATTAGCAATTTGGTAATTTCAGTATCGTTATTCTTTGGTCAATATTATCTCCTTAGTCGGATGTAGCCATTCGTCTAGGTTTCTCCGGATTTGTTTTAGTTTAGAGTTCATTCGTCCGGCCGGGGTCCGATTTGTTGTCCGGGCTTAAAAATTAATTCTTAGGCCGATGCCGAGCGACGCGAGTTTTAAATATACCTTTTTTTGACATATCCGGGTTCCGGGCTAAAAATCCAGGCTTTTCATGCATCTTGTCCTGGTTGCAAAATTTTAGAGATGGCAACCCTAGTCGGATATAATGTTCGGGAACGTCCACTTTGTGAGCATTCGTTTTGCGTGCGTCAGCACGTCGTTATACAAGCACATTATTTCACAAAGCTTAAGAACGTAAATATAAACAGGCAGAATCGTTTGATTATGACCTAAATTGAAATCTTGCACCGAATGCTCGAAAACATTCTGGAATATGCTCAAAGCAAATGTTACATCCAGACAGTCCAGTACATATTATCAATTTCTCAATCTTCCTATCAGGCTTCCACGCACACGACGCCAAATCCATGGTAGAAGTGGACATGTGGACAGAGTACGCTAAGTGCTTCTTACCCATTGCCTTATTTATTTTATTTAAGGCACAGATACAGAGAACAAACAATAACAGTACAATTAACATTTAACATACATAACTAGAGGCCGCCCGCGACTTCGTACGCGTGGATCCCGTTTTATCCCCTTTAAATTTTTCCTGAATTTTCTTTCCTATAAACCTCACGTCACGGAGCCCGAGACCTTTCCAACGAATGCAAAACCGTGGAAATCGGTTCGTGCGTTCTGGAGTTATAGCGTCAGGAAGGAAAACCCGACTTATTTTTATACAGGGTGGAATTTTGTAATGCCACCTGGAGGGAAAGTACTCTTAATACTGCAGATAGAACATTTTACTAAAAGAAAACATTCCTATATTTTTGAAAAGAAAGAGAACTGCATTCATAGATTTTCGAAAATTTTTCGAAAATTCACTATCATACCATACAATTTTCTGTACGTAATTAAAATAATTTAAGATTTTATAGATTTCCTTTCATTTGATTTATCAAGTTTGTTAGAGAGATTTCTTCCTTATACTTGACCCTAACGATTGATGCCATAAAAATACAGGGTGTAATTTGTAATAGATTTTAGTTGGTTCGATTCCCGGGTGTGGCAAGAAAATTTTTGGAAATCTTTGAATGCAGTTCTATTTATTGTATTGTTTTTCAAAAACAAAGGAATGTTTTCCTTGAGAATTTTTTTCTATCTACAATATTAAGGGTACTTTCCCTCCAGGTGGCATTACAAAATTCCACCCTGTATAGTATATAACATAGCACAATATTAAGTCTGAACTCCTATCTATCTATTTTTTAATGTTCCTACCAGGCGTCCATCCTCACGACGCGAAGTCGATGGTAGAAGAGGACATGTGGACGGAACTGCGGCAGATAGCTAGCGCGCCGGAGTGCGTGGCGGTGGGAGAATGCGGCCTTAACTACAGCAAGGAGTTCTCGGAGCCGCCTGTGCAGAGGGCAGTCTTTAAGCGGCAGGTGAGATGACCAAACATTGTCATTTTCATGTTAATAGACCGCAATATGTAGTGTAGCCAGGCCTGCCACTTGGTGGACCGACTACTTGGTGAAGGTTTTTTTTTTTTAAAAGATTATTAGTAATTTGTTATTACACAAATTACTAATACCCCCGTTAGCCCCTCGTACTAAGCTAAATATGCTTGTGTCACGAGTGAGCTCACCACAATAGTCGAGCGGCGGCGGGGACCGAACCCGCGTTCCCCGGATCACGAGTCGGCCAGTCCGACCCCTTCACCGTTCGGCTATCGTGGCTATAAGGAGGTTGCGAGAAACACATGCCGGTCGTCGTGGAAATACTTGGAAACAGTACAATGCTTATGTTCGAAGTACCGATTTTGCTTAGATATTTAAGATTTAACCACACCAACGCGTGCAGATCGCCATCGCCGGCGCGATCAAAGGCCAATGTTAGGTCGCGTGAACTGTCATAGGTCGCGCGACCTGTCATTGGCCTTTGATCGCGCCGGTTTATGACTATTATATGACTATTCGCATTATATAGCCTGACCGGGAACATAAAAACCCTGGCATAGAGGCGCATCAATTGCATTTGATAGTGCAACACTGAGTACAGTCGTACCTGTGTTAAATTAATAGGCTAACTTTATGTATCAGGATTCAGGATTACGGGTTAATTTAATATTTTCATAAATTAACGAAAACATATTATTATAGGTAACCTGGTTTAAATAAATTAAATGAAACCATCAATTGAGCTAGTAGGATTTATTTTATTATTCATCAATAATCAAATTCAGAACTTGAATATTCAACTGCAATGTCTGCTCATGAACGCTTCAAACTCGGTACTTCTTTCCCAATTCCATAAAATTCAACACTTAGAAAGTGACAAAATACCTACTTTTAAATAGGTAGTTGAAACAAACCACAGCTAATTTTCATAGTGGACTGTACTATACCATAAACATGTCAGTCAATTTGACAACCTTTGTTGGAAACATTATTCAATGAAAATATTGTCCGAACCCTTGGTATTTCTCTTCGACAAATACTTTAACACATAGTGAACCACTTTTCTTTCACGACTATAAAAAGATTTTAGCAATTTCATTCACAAAATCAATTGCGCACATTTAAAATAAAGTTTGTTTACACTTTGACAGCAATAGACTGACATGCAATGTGACATGTCAATGAAGTTTTTAGTTATTGTTGCCATTAAAAGAAATTAGTACCATTAGATTTCCGCAACATGGCGAGGGTTTTTATGTTCCTGGTCAGGCTATAATGACTATTCGCATATACAGGGTGTTAGGTAAATGGGTATATGAGCCGACACTAGCCCATGTTAACATGGGCATATAAATGGTATGGTGAAGTCAGAACTTTGATATCATGATTTTATTTTTTTTAATTTTCATACAAAATAAATTTTATAAAATCCGATTTGTATGTGTCGGCTCATATACCCATTTACCTAACACCCTGTAGAAATACGATCAAACACTATAATTTTCAGCCCTTAAAACTCAGTAACTTTGTGATTCCTTTTCAATCAAATAACGTTGGTAGAGACCCCAGGGGAAGCCCTACTAGACTATGCTTTGTTTGTGTTAATACACCGGCACTTTTGTAAATCTTACGCTGCCCGCATCCTAATGCTCCCTAGGTCGTCAATCCACCGTAGGAAGGCCTAAATTAATTCGGAGTGAAGTGATAGGGGCGCTGATCGTTATAGTGCTCAAGAAAGAAAAGATCGACAGATATCCGTGACAATCACGTAGTGGTTGATAAACCGTGAATGCATTATCTTTTCAACGATAAGTCCTGCCAGTTTTCAAAACTTATCACCCAGGGTGCATCATATTGTCAAGTGTAAAATTTTGAGTCTGTTAATTGGGTGACAAAGAGATCTCGTTTTAGAGCTGAAAGTGCAAGGATCTCAGTTTTAGGGGTTAAATCAATTCACGTACCTACTCCCACATTTATAAACGCTCAGGTTCGTAAACCTTTCCGTGTCCTCAGATAAATATAATCCAGGACAACAACCTTGGCACTTTAAACATTGATGTATTTTTAACTGGCTTCTGCTTCCGACTTTAACCTCGTGATTCCGGTCAGTATTTACAACACGCTAAAAGGTGATAAATAAATATAAGTACCTTTTAGTGATCGGCAAATAGAAAGTTATAGAAGTAAATGCACACATTCGTATTGAAGATTTAGAGTCGCCTGCAAATTATTGTTGCATTATCGCACTTATTTCATCAACATAAGGTGCAAGACCTTCATCATCATCATAATTTCAGCCATAGGACGTCTACTGCTGAACATAAGCCTCTCCCAATGTTTCCCATGTTGATCGATTGGTAGCGGCCTGCGACCAGCTCCTTCCTGCTACCTTTATGATGTCGTCGGTCCACCTTGTGGGTGGACGTTTCACGCTGCGTTTTCCGGTACGCGGCCTCCATTCCAGAACCTTGCTGCCCCATCGGCCGTCAGTTCTGCGTACTATGTGCCCTGCCCATTGCCACTTCAACTTGCTAATCCGACGGCATATGTCAGCGACTTTAGTTCGTTTACGGATCTCCTCATTTCTGATTCGATCTCGTAAAGAAACACCATATTGACTATATTTACTATCGGTGCCAGAACTGCCAGACCTTCTGTTGATAAAATAAATGCGATTATTTAGCTTGATATGCCGCTGTCTGTATGTAAAGCCGAGATCTCTATCAAGATTCAGTTGCCTGCACATTTGTGTTGCATAATCGCGCGTATTGCGTTTCCATAAGGCACCACAGTGTTTCATTTGTAGTGCCGCCGTTCATGCTTCTGTAAAGCCGAGATTTTATCAATTAACGCTATCACACCTAAAGGTTCGGCCAAACCAACGCGATCACATGCGATCAGCCGGCGTGCAGCGATGGCGATCAATGCATTTTAGTTTGGTCGCCATCGCTGCACGCCGGCTGATCGCGTATGATCGAGTTGGTTTGGCCGTACCTTTAGGGCCATAGCAGACATGATAGTTTTAGCATCGGCGATCGGCGATTTTGTGATTGTATCGATGCAATATTCAGAAGCGGTCTCGGAATCGCGCATTTGAGCGACTCTATCGACGCAGCATCGCGATTTCATGACTTCATTCATGCATTCGGACACGGCATCGAAATTGCTCGTTTTAGCGACTCTATCGATGCAGCATTAGTCCAGTCATTTGGTACAAAATAATGTAACATTGAAATCTATATAAATACCAATTTTCATTACTCCCGGAAAACTTTCCAGGTAAAACTACCAAATGACTGGACTACATTGCATTTTTTACATGCTTTCGAACGCGGTATTGAAATGGCGTGTTTTAGCGTACAGCGACTACGCAGCCTCGCGATTTCGCGACTTCATGCGTTCGGACGCGGTGTCAGAATCGCGCGTTTTAGAGACTGAATTGTCGCGTTTGGCATATATAAATGTGCGGTTTGGAATGTGATCCAGCTTCTAAAAAGCCGCTAAATCGCCGATCGCTGACACTAAAAGTAGCATATGTTCTGTAGCTCTAAATCATGCAATTTGTGGTTAGGCAATGGTCTAATTTCGCCTGCGCGTCACTTGGCAGACTTGGCACACATCGGTGACCCGTTCAAAGGAATCAATTACTTATCGGCTGATAAATGCATTGACTGATAGCGAGTTGAATGACTCTAAAATTTGTTATTGTAGACCATGTTATGACTGTCGATGGATGTTTGTAGATAATGAATAGTCGTTAGACAATCGATTGTTTCTTTTGCATTGTTTTACACGGACTTTAAACTGGCTTATGTGATTACTATTTTTCCATAATGAACCTTATTTAATTAGTCTAAATAAGGCATTTTAAATACAGCCTTTAATTAGTTGCAAGATAATTCGAAATTATTTGTTTGTCCATTTGGTTTCTAAGTTAGATTGATCTTTTGTTTAAGTACTACTATACTACTACTAAGACTATAAGTCACAAGTCTTTAATTATCTAATGAATAAGAGCAAAAACTACACAGATATTAATTGCAACAAAAATCTCGATTTAATCGCAAGATTGGATTCAAGTTTTTGCTCGGTCAATTTTCAATATTTAGAGCAATTACTGAGAAGAATTTAATTTAATTTTGAGTGTTATTTCGACTCTACATTTATAGGTAAAATCCTTCATTTGCCTCTGGTAAATAAGAGTAGGCGCACACCGTTGATTTTTCATCGGCCGATAGTTTAGTCGGGCAGTTGATCAGTATGGGCATGTATGGGAGTGCGCACACTACGCCGATTCGGCCGATTCTTCATACAATTTAAAATCGGGCACAACTATCGGCCAACTAAAAATCAACGGTGTGCGCCTACTCTAAGAGAAGTATTTCTCCTACAGTGGAGACTAAATAACATACATAACCTAATCATTAGGGTCCCTCACGCTAGCTTTCGAGCTTTGTCATAACGTCGTCGTCAACGTTGCGCAGGCGCCGGCGAAACGACGACGTTATGACGACGCTTCAAAGACGCTGGTGTGAGAAGCCACACGGTTCGGTGCGGTTGCGGCGCGGCGCCGGAGCGTTGCCGCTGCGGCGTTCTGCATATAAAAATCAATGATATATCAGACGGTGCGTTCCGGTGCCGCACCGCAGGCACACCGCACTTCGATTGAGCGAGACGGTACCGTAGCGGCGCCGCATACCACCATGTCTACAGTGATGCGGCACCGTGTGGCTTCTCCCTTAATTTGATGCTTTTATCAGGTGGAAATGGCGTGCGACCTCCAAAAGCCTCTGTTCGTTCACGAGAAGGAAGCGCAGGAGGACCTGATAGCGATCCTGTCGGAGTTCGGCAGCCGCCTGCCGCCCGTCGTGGTGCACTCCTTCACCGGCTCCGTGGAGCAGGGGCTCGCCTACATCGAGCGGGGGTACTATCTGGGGATCACAGGTCAGCACCATTCTTCTTCTTTCAGACTATGCTAGTACGCTGCTGGACATGAAAACATGCTGGAAATCTTTCATCTATCCAGTGCTAACTCGAGCTCGAGGCCAAGATTCTGATCGAGAGATCGAGCGGGGTAACTAAGGGGCACAACCTGATCATCACAAGTATGATCAGCACCATTTAGAGTGGCGTGATTTTCCCCTGTTTACATCTAGACACTCTCTTCTCTAGGATAAGGTTAGAAGCGCAGCGTAACGCGTGAGCTCCGCTTTTTTTATTCAGCCTTCAGTTTCTTATGGTCAAGGTTCTGAAGGAAGAGCAGGAGGACCTGATCTTGGATTAGCTAAATGCTAGACATGAGTCTCCCCCAAGGAGCGCCACTCAACAGAATCGACCGCTTTTTCATCTGGCTAGTACCTTCTTAAGGTCGAGGAAGACAGCGCAAGAGCTCCTAGAACAGCTAAGTGCAGGCTGGGTGTGAGTCTTCCCCAAGGAGAGCCACTCAGCATGATCGACCGCTTTCATCAAGCTAGTACCATCTTCTTGAGGTGGAGGTGTGAAGGAAGCGCAGGAGGACCTGATAGCGATCCTGTCGGAGTTCGGCAGCCGCCTGCCGCCCGTCGTGGTGCACTCCTTCACCGGCTCCGTGGAGCAGGGGCTTGCCTATATCGAGCGGGGGTACTACCTGGGGATCACAGGTAATTACTATTTCAGACCTTGATAGTCCACTGCTGGACTTCTTTCATCTATCCAGTGCTAGCTCGAGCTCGAGGTCAAGATTCTAATCGAGAGATCGAGCATTACATGTCAGCATTTCAGCAACAGCAGCATGATCTTCCGTTGTTTTCATCTAAACATCATCTAGACACTACGCCATCTTCTTGAGGACGTGGTTATAATACATCGAGAGCTTGGACATCACATGTTACAGCGTCATATTTTCAACCAATGTTAGTCTACAGCTGGACGAAGCGCGCCACAATATGTGACCCCCGCTTTTTTCATCTAGCCACTGCTAGTACTCGTCTCAAGGAAGCGTAGGAGGACTTAATCTAGAACAGCTAGATGCTGGACGTGTTTTTCCCCCAAGGAGCGCCATTCAACTCGGCCGCTTTGTCATCTAGCTAGTACCTTCTTGAGGTGGAGGTGTGAAGGAAGCGCAGGAGGACCTGATAGCGATCCTGTCGGAGTTCGGCAGCCGCCTGCCGCCCGTCGTGGTGCACTCCTTCACCGGCTCCGTGGAGCAGGGGCTCGCCTACATCGAGCGGGGGTACTACCTGGGGATCACAGGTAATTACCATTTCAGACCTTGATAGTCCACTACTGGACCTCTTTTATCTATCCAGTGCTAGCTCGAGCTCGAGGTCAAGATTCTGATCGAGAGATCGAGCATTACAGGCCAGCATTTCAGCAACAGCAGCATGATCTTCCGTTGTTTTCATCTAAACATCATCTAGACACTGCGCCATCTTCTTGAGAATGAGGTTAGAATACATCGAGACGTTGGAAATCAAAGATAACAGCATCATCATTTCAGCCAATGCTAATCTACTGTTAGACGAAGAGCGCCACAGTGTGACTCCTGCTTTTTTCATCAGCTAGTGCGAGATATTCTTGAGTTTGAGGTTCTGAAGGAAGCGCAGGAGGAATTAATCTAGAACAGCTAGATGCTGGACGTGTTTCTCCCCCAAGGATCGCCACTCAGCATTGTCGACCGCTTTTTCATCTAGCCAGTACCATCTTCTTGAGCTGGAGGTGTGAAGGAAGCGCAGGAGGACCTGATAGCGATCCTGTCGGAGTTCGGCAGCCGCCTGCCGCCCGTCGTGGTGCACTCCTTCACCGGCTCCGTGGAGCAGGGGCTCGCCTACATCGAGCGGGGATACTATCTGGGGATCACAGGTAATTACCATTTCAGACCTTGATAGTCCACTACTGGACCTCTTTTATCTATCCAGTGCTAGCTCGAGCTCGAGGTCAAGATTCTAATCGAGAGATCGAGCATTACAGGCCAGCATTTCAGCAACAGCAGCATGATCTTCCGTTGTTTTCATCTAAACATCATCTAGACACTACGCCATCTTCTTGAGAATGAGGTTAGAATATATCGAGACGTTGGAAATCACAGGTTACAGCATCATCTGTTCAGCCAATGATAGTCTACTGTTTTACGAAGCGCGCCACAGTGAATCTTCGCTTTTTTCATCTAGGCACTGTTAGTTATCGTCATGAGGCCGAGTTTCTGAAGGAAACGCAAAAGGACTTGAGCCTAGAATAGCTTAGTGATGGACGTGTGTCTCGCTCAAGGCGCGCCACTCAACTCGGCCTCTTTTTCATCTAGCCAGTACAGTAGCGGTATCGGTACACAGGCAATGCTCCATAGAGCGTGAAAGGCCAAAACGCGGCTCTCCAATAGATTTTGTTTCACAAAGACAAGTTGTGACGTCACTTTTCATTACTTAATTGACTTACTATTTACGCAGACGTCCGCATGTTTTGTGAAAACAAACCCGCATTGTAATTCCGCTACAGGATCTCATGGTATGAATTAATCTATTGCAGGGTACATTTGCAAGGACAAATCCGACGGCGGCATCCGACGGCTGCTGGCTGAACAGTTACTGCCCTTAGATCGTCTGCTGGTGGAAACGGATTCTCCTTTCATGTACCCAAACACGCGCGCGTCCAAACTGCCGCTGCACGTCAAAGGCGGACTTACGGAGAGGTGAGAATGATTGAGAATTTGCGACCTTATGTCTAAGTTATAAGCACGCTAATCATCAACCAAAGCGCCTCCAAGCTGCCGCTTCACGTCAAAGGTGGACTTACGGAGAGGTGAGACTGATTGCGACCTTATGTCTAGGATATAAGCACGCTAATCATCTATTAAAGCGCTTCCAAGCTGCCGCTTCACGACAAAGGAGGACTTACGGAGAGGTGAGAATGATTGCGAATTTGCGACCTTAAGTCTAAGACGGTAGAGACGGATACGCCTTTTAAGCACACGCGCGCGTCTAAACTACCGCTGCACGTCAATGGTGGACTTACGGAAAGGTGAGTTAAAGTGATGGTTGTTTTCAGACTGATTGAGACCTTATGGTGGACTCACTTAGAGGAGTCTGACGGCTGGTAACACCGACTTGCCTTTCAGGTACCCGCGTATAAACTGTCGCTTTGACATCAAAGGCGGACTTACGGAGAGGTGAAACTAGTATTATTCCAGACTGTTGAAGACTTTAGTACCGTGACTTTAGGCTGGTTTCAGAGTCACGCGTTCGCCGGTGAGGATGGTATTTGTACGCGTCGCGGGTCAGAAACTTGGTGATGCCTTGTACCGTTTCATAATGAAAACTGCCCGCGCGTACCACTAGCACTGATTTAGACGGGTTTTTAGAACAGCGCTGACCAGATCAGTATGTATGTAATTAAAAGGAACGTTCCTGAGTGACGCTAATCACTCGGCGCCTCATACAATTCGGCTGTAAGCGTGTGATTGTAAACTTACAGTTATGGTGCGTCCACACTGGGCGAACGGGCTCGCGCGGCACGCTGGTCATCCTGCTCACCTTTTTCTTGAGTTAACAGGATGTCGAGTTTGCCGCGCGAGCCCGTTCGCCCAGTGTGGACGCACCATTACAGGTACAAACGCGGGTTATGCGCGCACTTACGAAACGCGCGTACCACACGACATCCGCGTGACTGAAACCAGCCTTAGGCTGGAAAAGTTCTCGAGGACCAGTCGTAGTGTAGGCAGGTTGCCCAGTCGGTAGACTGACGATCTGGTAAAGGGAAGGACTTATTTTGGTTATAGCTAGAAAATTACATCGACCATTCACATTGTTTCCAAGTTACTCTTTAATTTGATTAGGCTACTGATTGTGCGGCGAGGATTTATAAAAAGACATTAAAAAATATCTTACAAAGATTAAAGGTAATACAGTTACCTTAAAGATAAAACCAGTGATAATGTTCTTCGAATTTTATCTATAAGCTACTTCCAAAACACTTTGTATAGATAAGATAGCGGAATTATTGTTTTCATTTATGCAGCCACATGTTGATAAATTGACAACTCAAAGTGAACCGGAGTTGCATTTTTATGGATTGTTCAGTTGTGTGACTCATGGTATGAGTTTAGTTTGGTATTAATTAATTATCTGGCACGCAAAACATTCAATTATCCATATTATTAGTCACAGCGCATGTCACAACAATAATTAATATTTTTGTGTCATAATAATATGGCCACGCAGAGAAGAATTGAATTATAATAATTTCATTTCATATCTATATAATATAGAATACTACTAATAAAATAGTCTGCTCTTCCTGGGAAATATTAACTTGATAATATTTTATAAATTGAAAATATTTGAATGCGGTAGAAATGATCATGCTACAAACATGTACCATTTATTATTATTATTTTTTGCATAAAACTTCCTTTTGATTTAACTGCATTTTGAATTTTGAAATACATTTTAATTAATTAGTATAAACAAAATATGTAGATACACGATGTTGAAAGTTAAAGTTGAACCTATTACATTCTTATGAATCGTCCAATCAAAAAAATTGGTTAAAACGCTGTTAATTAACAAATCTTTGTTGAAATTCAATATTGAAGTATGAAAGTTACAAAATACTGCAAAAAGATAACAGGAAACATACCGGTGTTAGACAAACATACCAATTTGTTGAACAAGATTCCGTAAATAAATAAAATGAAATTCAATATTTTATTATGTCCACAATCTTATTTCAATTAGAGATCAATTAATTATTATTAAGTCATTTTTTCAATTGATCGATTGTATTCCATCAATCAAGTCAAGTACAATTTGTTTTTATTAGATATGAACTCAATAAAATTAAATTTATTCAGCTAGCTGGCTGATTTCAGCGTTTTTAGCGGTTTAACGTAGAAATGATTACTAAGTTTAACAGATGTGCTACGTACAGTTCAGGGTTCGAAAGGATAATTATCATGATAATTTAATTTATAATAACAGATTATCAGTTGATATTAACAAAAAATTGCACTCGTGAAAATGTACTGTATTCGAAGTTTTCGAACGTGTATTTCCGCACTTGTGTCTAGTGGTGGGCGTTCATCAACATAGATAGTTATAAAACCTATCTACATATTTAGTTCCACAATGATCACAAGCTTTATGTGACTAGCAATGGATAACTTGACAATCAGCAACCAAAAACATAAAGCTACAATCGAAATCAAAATTTCTTATGAAACAATATGTCAAAAATGTATCTTTTACTGTTGATAATTATTGGATAATTATCATGAAGCGTAATTATTTTGATAATTTCGAACCCTGGTACAGTTAGATGAAGGCTCGGCTTCCACCAAGATGGATCGGAGCTAAGAATTGTTTTGAAGATTTCATTATTTCCACATTTCCTCTGCGCTCCTGGAAATGGATCGTGTGGAGAAGAGAGTCGCGCGGTTTTTCCTTTCATAGACAGCAATAGACTGACACTGACAACTACGCAGTGCGTAGTATAGACCCAATACACTGAACTGTCCCGCGCGTGATATTGACAGGGGGCGCCACCGTCAATACCGGATCGCTGGTTCCGATTTTTGCCATGTTAGAAACAATACAATTGAACGATGGTGGCGCCCCTCTGTCATTGAGTTTGGTGGGACAGTTCAGTGTAGGTCATCTATACGCATAGCACACATCTCTCGTCTCGCTCCGCTTTGGTGGGAACCGGGCCTTATGCTATACTGTTTTTGTTTTAGGTTATGGTATTTTGGGATTGCTAAACGACATATTAATTTTTCTCTACAGTATTTGATTTGCGCTGTAATATTTTGAGTTTGCGTTATAGTATTTTAGTCGGTGTTGACTAGAGTAATGGCAATGCCAGATTTTGTATGGAAGGTGGCGTCTTTTTTTTTCTCGCGGCCATCGACCAAACCTTGTTTTTTGATTACAAAATAGTGTAATAAACCAAACTTACTATGACATGTATACCTCTAAACTCAGTCTGAACTGAGTTACGAGCGTTAGAAGTTTAATAATTTACATACTAGATTTGCTTTTTACGCGCAAGTTTTGTAAGAAATTGCAACAAAATAGTGACATTGTATGTGTAAACAAACAATACCATCCATTAAAGGCTCCAGACATCAGTGTGGAGCAGAATCAGCGCAATAAAAAAATAGCCCAATATTTTGTTGCAATTTCTTACAAAACTTGCGCGCAAAAAGCAAATCTAGTATGTAAATCATCAAACATCTAACGCTCGTAACTCAGTTCAGACTGAGTTTAGAGGTATACATGTCATAGTAAGTTTGGTTTATTACACTATTTTGTATCCAAAAAACATGGTTTGGTCGGTGGCCGCGCGAAAAAAAAAAGACGCCAATTTCCGGCATTGTCTTTTATTGTATACTAGCTGACCCGGCGAACTTTGTTCCGCCTTAATGGCAATAAATAAGCAGACTTTTTTTTTTAATTTCGAACGGGATAAAAAGTATCCTATGTCCTTCTCCTGGCTTTAAACTACCTCCCTGACAATTTTCAGCTAAATCGGTTCAGCCGTTCTTGAGTTATAAGTGGAGTAACTAACACGACTTTCTTTTATATATATAGATAGATTAGAACATTTTGATAGTAATTTTCGATTTTTTTTCTTAGAAGGTTAGGTTAGGTTTTTTTTTAAATAATAATACAATATTAGTAAAGATCTCAGCCATAGGACGTCCACTGCTGAACATAGGCCTCCCCCAATGCTTTCCATGTTACCCGGTTGGTAGCGGCCTGCGTCCAGCGCTTTCCTGCTACCTTTATGATATCGTCGGTCCACCTTATGGGTGGACGTCCCACGCTGCGTTGTTATGCCTATGCCTATGATCAGCAGTGGACGTCCTATGGCTGAGATGATGATAATGATGATTAGTAAAGATGATATTAATAAAAATGAATCATATATTTTTTTCTGTTCATTAAAGTAAATAATAATATCAATTTATTGGTAGTGTAAGTAGGTACTGCTTGTTGTGTTTAATGTATTTTATGCATGCGATAAGTACATGATTATTTTAACAAATAAGCAATGACTAATATCTTTTGTACATGATATAACTAGAAAGTGTTATTTATTTAAGTATCAAATATTGCGTTTGTCTTACTTATGAATCGAGAAATATCGTTTTTAGAATTGTTTGTATGTAGTGTGTTGTCTGATTGTAATTGGCAAACATTTATTTTAACTGAAACCCTGATAGGTATATTGCGAATGTTTTGTTTTGCCTTTGGTATTTTTTTTTAGTTACCTACAGATTTTTATTTTATCCTTAGTCAGAAATAAGGCGTGTTACAGAATAGTCTAAGGGAGACTGAGAATTAATTTAAATACACACGAACAAAGTCGCGGTCAGAACATAGAGATGACAGCACATGAAGCTAAAAACTGTGGTTTCTTATGTCGTTGTAGTACGTACTATTTTGCAACAAGAATTTCTGATGTGTTGTACTTGTGGAATTTTGAATTCCTCCAGAACCAGATATTGTCTTCTGATTAATTTCGTTGCGGGTCCAATGACAGTTTAACTTTCCCCCGGGACAAACTTGACCTTTACTGGTTGGGTTTTTATTGGCGGTCAAGCTGTAGATCCTGGCTACACAGGAGTTGCAGCGGTGGGAACAAGAGGTGGGAATAGTCCCGTGATGTGTCGTTACTGTACATTAGTGTAGGTACATAATAATAAAAAAAATCATCTTCTTCTCAGCACTTACCATATGTTTGTCTCGAAGCACTGGTAGGGCCCAAAAGATAAGGAGACATGAAAAGTGCCCCTAAAGAGCTACCTTTTTTTACCCGACTGCGCCAGAAGGAGGGGTTATTTTACTGTATTTTGACGTTCATAAGTGCCACTAATGGTCAAAATTGAATAAAATATTTTTTAATTTTGATTTTTGATTTGGTATTTCTACCCCCAGGTCAATGAACTTCGTGAACCGCTACTGCACGTTTCAACGCAATGAGCCGTGCGCGCTACCAGCCATAGTGGAGTTGATAGCTGGCTTCTTAGCCCAGAAACCTGAGGATGTCGCTCTCGCCACTGCCTTCAACGCGCTCAAGATCTTCGGATTGAGCCAGTGATGCCAAATACAGGGTAAGGTGGCTTTGGGTAGATGTGTAAACAGTTTTGGCTGTTGAAATAAGAAAACGGTTGAGAAAGGCAGCTTAAAATAAGAAACAAGTTGCGTAAGGCAGCTTTGAAGATCCTGGTGACCAAATGACAGCAAATGTTTGAATGTAAGCAACTTGTAATCTTTTTTGGGAAAATAAATACAAGATATTTCATATACCTTCTAATGTTTAAAAAGATGCGATCCGAGCTACAGTTACCATTGGACAGTCAGTGTCAATAAGTTCGTGACACCCAAAGTAGCCAAAAAGTTCGCAACACGTCTTTGTTACAATTGGAATAGTGTTATCAACTATTGGCCACTTGGGTGTTAAAATCGATTTGACGCCGACTGGACAACATTCTATTATGTATATTGTCCGCTCGTGTGTCGTCATAGCATAATGGCAGCTTATAGATGAGAAATGTAACTTCATTTATTCACACAATTCAGTGTTCATGAAACAGATGAATGCGTAATAACTAATAAGTGTGTGAATCATAAAAGATGACTCCATTGTCTGAAAATAGATTAAACGTAAAGATTGACCTTGTTCTCATTTGGTTATCAGTTTCTATATTTCAACTGACTGAGGCAATAATAATGTTAAAAATTCGTGGTCAAGTAAAATGTTATCTTATTATGACAGCAGTAATGGCCAATTTTAGACACATCTACCTAAAGTCAATGTCAAGAGGGCTGCCCCTTTGCTTTATAAATCTGGTTACTTTATTAGATTAGAACGCTGATTTTAAACAATGAATTCGGGATAGTAACTGGCTGAGCTAGAAAATTATCAAGTTCAAAGTTATGTATTTAAAAACCAGACAATATATTTTTGGTCTATTGACCACGTAAATCATGAAGCGAAGGGGTATTATTTAACGCAAAGATTTATTAAAACATTTATTATAAAGAATCGATGAATATTCGGGCTTGTTAGCTTGTGCCTTATAAGATTAAGAAAGATTACGATGTAAGGAAAAAATCGTATGGTGGTGTTCCTGTGAAGGAGCATCGATCATTGTATTTTTGTATTCAAGAATTTATAAAACGAAAAAAAAATGGTTTCTTCAAACGTCATCGAAACAAACTAAATTATAACGGAACCAACTCGAAAGTACTAATACTCATTTAATTTGTTGTTGCTATATTTTGAGGGTAGAATGGCAACATGAGGCTGATTTTCACTAACCATCAATATTGTTCAAATCTTGCCAACGATTTTATGATTTAAAAACATCTTTTCGATGTATGCCTCTCTAAATATAAATTCCCAAAGGAAATGTTATACATTAAGTTTTGTAACATGTTTACATTTAATTTCTTTTTTTATGAAAAGCCAATGATCCCGTTTTATAATCATTTGGCCGAATAAATATGTAACTGTATAATAAAATGTAATTGATTTTACAAAATCATATTATATCGAAGTATTTATTATGTTTGAATAGCGTACCTGAACGCTTAAGTCTAATAAATGCCATTTTTATTAACAAAAAATATGAAAAAAGCAATAAAAAAAGCATAATATTTTGATGACGTGTTGTTTATGGTTAGGTCTTGTCTATGACTTGTTAAGTGGCTTTGTAGCGGATTGTGTGCACTCGCCTTAGCAATAATAATATGGTGGCAATGGTGGCAGCTTTTAGTCAGTATGATCTCATACTTTACTGTGCGTTTGTGACTGATGTTATTGTAATGCCATTTTGTGATACTGGCCTTTACCAATTGCATTTTGTGCGAAACCAGAACGACTTTTTACCTAGATTTAGGTATTTATAATAAAAATGGATGTAATGCGTCGTCCATAATGAAAGTGACGTCATATTATCGTTTTGGTTTCATGTAAAATGTATACTGTAATTAATATACATGTTGTGAATAATATACACAAGATCGCAATTTCTTCGTGCGGTCTATATCAAATTGCCATTAGTTAAGTCCCATTGATATCTGTTGCCACTGTATCGCTGTTCGCACGGTGTTAGGTATCTTGTAGTATTTCGCTCTGCACTGGGCATTCCTATTCGAATTAATGTATATTTTCATCGAATATTATAATGTAAATAGTCAATGTTAATTCGCTAGCAGGTGAACCTATAACAAAATGACGATTTTCCCCAATGAATTTTGAACTTTGTTTCTTTTAGAATAAGGTTAAAGTGATTTTGTTGTAGGTTGATGTGCCGGCGGTCGTCCTAATTGTAAATGTTAATGCTGGTAGTCACAACGAAAACAAAGACTGCAAGTATTAAAATGTGGAATTTGACATGTTAATTAATTATTACGGTTTTTTGTAATATTTTTTATGTATTTAATCGTTTAATGTTTAAGATTACTGTTATTAATTCCTTTATTTTTTGACAGTCACTTGTTGTAGATGTTAAGTGTTCGGACACTGATGTATAAAAGAAATATAATTATATACAATGTCTGGGCACATGTCGCTTAATTTATTATAGAGTGTAGAGTATATTTTCTAATTGATTTGTATACAAAGTAGTGATGGGTCCTGGAGATGTAACGTAGTGCCTTTCGACAAAACGTCCTTTGTGATACAATATTTTCTTAGATTGTACAGATTATTTCTTTCAATATACAAATTTAAAATACATCCGAGTTTACATTTACAAAACCAACCAACAGGAACTTATGCCTGCTTTCACCATCAATCCCTAATTTTTAAGTGACCCCTATGAAAACAAAACGCCTGTTATGTGTTACCATAAGGGTCACTTAAAAATTAGGGATTGATGGTGAAAACGGGCATTAGTCTTTAAAAAAAACCAAGATATTTAAGTATTTACAAGTTTATTTTTGGCAATATCATTTAAAACATTAGCTAGAATTTTACAAATTAATTTAATTCATATTGTATTTTTTTACAGAAATTGTAAAACACATGTAACACAGCTTGTATGTCTATTAATATAAAAGAAACAAATGATATATGTAACAGTACATACATAACAATTCTAACGACTCCACTAAATCCACTAATGCATAAAAAATCTTTATCAGCAAGCTGCTAACAACATAACAACTTAGCTGTTCAAACAAAAAGTTGGTATTTACTTTTTTCCGTCACATAATGGTTTAATCGCTCCATTATACAGGATCCATTTCGCTTCACCCAATAAAAAAATTAAATGTAATTGATACGGTTTTCTCGTTTTACAGCTAATAAACGCTGAATTGAATACATAAAACCGATAATGAGGCGTTTAACAAAATGTTTTACGCTTCGGAGCTTTTCATGAGTCATTATGACCATAATGAGTAGCTAGAACAAATAATGACTAGGCAGTATTTCATAATAGTCATAATTTTCTATGACACAAGATTAAATAAGTGTGGTAGGAAATATGTGTGAAATTATTGTAGTTTGTGACTCCCAAAGTGGCCAAAAAGTTGAAAAAGGTGAGACACAGGCCAAGAGCTTCCTCGTTGGGGATAAAAAAATAATACAACCTTATAACAGAGACGTGTTGCAAACTTATTGGCTACTTTGGGTGTCACGCACGAACTACTTGACGCTGACTGTACATAATTAAAGCTTCATATGATTATTCTTTATTTATAAAAAGATGATTCTTTTTATAAGCTTGATGATTATATCAAAATTTTCCCCTACAGCAGTAACTACCAGTTCACTAAAGGTCATGATATTTCTTTGTTGTGTTTGGAGTTTCATTCCTTTTTTTTTCCAGTTTTTTATCAGATCAAGTTATCATTCTGTTTTGTATTTTTTTAACAGACTTCAACAAGGAGGTTCTCAATTCGGTTGCTTTTTTTGTGAATATTATTTTTCTATACGCTATCTATTCAATACTCAACCAAAAAACAAGGAGGTTCTCAATTCGGTTGTTTTTTGTGAATATTATTTTTCTATACGCTATCTATTCAATACTTATCACGCATAGCCCCTTTTAGATCCGTACACACCAACCACAGTCACTTCAACACACTTCACAAAAACTGTTCACGAGTTACATATCACAGCACATCACTAGCTCTTGTCGAGTTTGCGTACAACGCCTGGTGGTGGGGACGCCAGGACTTTACGGGACAGTCGCGCTTGTCCCGATACGGGGTCCCGGCCGAAGTACTTCACTTGGATATCGGAGCCCACTTCGAGGTTTAGCGCTGAGGGGTGCATTATCTGGGGACAGTTAAAAATGGTGGTTATTTCAAACTTTTACAGAAAAGGGTGACTAAAGAGTTGAACAAAGAGCATTATGCTGTCAACTTTTGGCTCATGTTAAAGCTGTGATATTTTATTTAAAAAAAAAAATTGAATAAAATATTTTTGTTTTTGTACAAAAAGAACAAATTGTGTACTTAACACTTAGGCCCAGAACAGACGGTGAAACGCAACTGTAACTTTCTGATGATTCTGATGAATGAAACTGAAAGTTTCAAAATGGTCGCGTCATGTGTGGTCTCTCAACGGACGCTATGGCAGAAACTTAGATGCAACTCAAAAGTAACTAGCAGTTGCAGTTTCGTTGCAGTTGGGTTTCACCGTCTGTTCTGGGCCTTACGGATGACAATGTAATATGTAATAATACGAGGCACTTCATTTGGCTGCCACTACCTTCAAAAATAATTTGTTAACTTTACAAAACATCGTTTTTTACTTAAGAAAGAAAGAAACATTACGATGGACATCACACAAAGACAAAAAAGGTATACTTACATAGAAAAAAAAAGAAGGAGAGACTACGTACCTTTCTGTGATCCAATTGTGAGTTATGCACCAACGCCGGCGCCATGCCGGGATAAAGCGTGACCATGACGCCTACATCCCTCACTTCCACCACCCTTGCTTTGTAAACCGCGCCGAATTCCAATTCCGGCGTGCGTTCGGCGGCGAGCCACGCCGCTATTCGCGCTTTAGCTTCGTCCATCGCCGTTTGGGAGGGCGCGAACACGCTGTATTTGATCTCGTCTATTGGTGTTACCTGTAGAGATAATAAATAGGGAATATTTACTCAGTGCCAAATACCTAAAGCCCGGTCTGTGAGCACGTAGAATTTTGTCCAATGACCTCAAGCTACCCATCCTTATCACTCGCGCGTAATTATATTGCTGTCGCGATTGTGCGACAGGCGCCCGCAGTGAGTGTGCGAGCGCGACAGCAACATAATTACACGCTAGCGATAAGGATGGGTAGCTTGGGGTCATTGGACAAAATTCTACGTGCTCAAAGACCGGACTATAGATATATCCCCCTAGACAAGTTCTGTTACAATCCGTGACAGTTTTCGTTTCGGAGTTGCTTCGCCGAGCAAAGTATCGAAATAGAAACGCCGGAGCGAAGCGATTTCGGAATTACGAGTGTTACATTTTGTAACTTGTCTAGGGGGCAGGAAAGTAAGTGCGGAAGATAGCAAGTCTAATTAAACTCATTGTCAACTTAATATAGTTGTAATTTGTGCTATTTTTAAACAATATAATATAATATAATTGAGTACCCCTTTCAAACATTTGCATTATGCACACTAATCAATATAATAATAGTTTACCTGCACACCAGTTTCGACGTATAACCTCTTTAGGTTGATTCCTCCCAGTCCGAGCAGTTTGGCCCTCTGGTGGACTTCCACCTCCAACTCCTCGGTCACTGGCATATTCTCCTTGCGGCCTTGTCTAGACATTAAGAATACATCTTTATGTGTTTGCAATAGGTGTGATTTTGCAACAAGGCGCTTATAGCCAATAGTTCATTCATAGTCAGGATAGCCGAACGGAGTGGCCGACTCGAGATCCGAGGAACGCGGGTTCGAATCCCACCGCCGCTCGACTATTGTGGTGAGTCCACTCGTAACACAAGCTTATTTAGCTTACCACGAGGGGCTAACGGGACTATTAGTAATTTGTGCAATACAAATCTTATATCTTATATATATAAAAGAAAGTCGTGTTAGTTACTTCGCTTATAACTCAAGAACGGCTGAACCGATTTAGCTGAAAATTGTCAGGGAGGTAGTTTAGAGCCAGGAGAAGGACATAGGATACTTTTTATCCCGTTCGAAATAAAAAAAAAGTCTGCTTATTTAATTGCCATTAAGGCGGAACAAAGTTCGCCGGGTCAGCTAGTTGCTAATAAACATTATTAAAAAAAATAATTACGAACCGGAAAACTTAATGTGGCCAGGCCCCCACTAGGTGAACCAACGATCTAGTGAAGGTCGCGGGAAGAACCTGGATGCGGGCGGCGCAGGACCGGTCATATTGGAAACCCTTGGGGAAGGCCTTTGTCTAGCAGTGGACGTCATTTGGCTGAACGAACGAACGAACATGTTTCAAGCGAGAATTATTCTGACTTCCCTTCACCTTATACACAAAATAAATAGTGTCCGACCGAATATGGATTTTCAGCCGAAAACGGAAACGAAAACGAAGCTTCGGCTGCAGTCTCATATTCGGCCGAAAACGAAAACGAAAATGACCTTCAACTCACAAATTTCAATCTGAAATTATGTAAAAACTTTGAAAACCGTTAATGTTTTGACCAAAAACATAATGATGTTTGACAGTTGTTTTTGATAAGGATTGATTAAAGAAAACCGGCATTAAAACACAAAAAAAATATTTCCGGTGTATATTGAAATATTGGGAAGTGAAGAAGAAATAAAGGGTGTCCAGTGGGAATTTTTCAACTTCAAAAATGATTCATACAAATAAATTAATGATTTTTTATTATTTATTACTAATGCAAACTGGAGTTTAACAATGCGGATTTATTTTTTTATAGGCAATGTCTTTTAAATGATGCCCGTTTTACTATAGGCACTCTCACAGCCGGACCCTTACATTCGCAACTATGCGAGAGCAAATCGCGCTAATAATTTTCCTGCAACTTCACAGCGGATATTTTCTTACAGAACCTGAATTATTTATGGATTGTTTTGCTGTAAACTTTTGACTTGAGATATCCCCACAAGAAAAAGTCGCATGGTGTGAGATCTGATGACCAATGCGGCTAGAAAAATTAGTCCTCAGTGTCTCCATCGAGGTATTCTCCGTGTGTGGTGAGACACCTTCTTGCTGTGAAGCAAGACACATCGACCAGTGACTCATGGCGTATTTCAAATCCGCATTAGACTCTTTTTTGAAACAATTAAACTTAATGAAAACTCTTTGGTTTTATTTGTATTCAATTTTGAACTTAGAAAATTTTCGCTGGACCCCCTTTACAATGTAACCTCACTTCAAAACTTCAAAAGAGTGTGACAATACCGCGTCCGTTCAAGTCTGATTGGAACCATGAGTGCATCAGATTCACTCCCGAAGATATCGGAACGATAAACGTCACCATCTTATTCACCTATTTCTGATATTCGGTTTGGCCGAAGCTTCGGCTGGTTTTTGGCCGAAAACGAAAATATGGCCGAATGTCCATTTTTTGGCCGAAAATGGCCGAAAACGAAAACGAAAACGAATATTCGGTCGGTCACTAAAAATAAATGAACTTAAAAGATAGAAATAAGTCAACTTAGTATTCACAAATGCAGTCGGAGGCATTAAATACTTACCACAAAAAAAAAAAGTAGTCATTGATGCCTCCGACTGCATTGTGAATACTAAATTGTCTTGTTTCTATTTTTTCAGTAAATTATTTTAGAGCAGGCCTGTTCATCTCCGCGAGTTTACATCGAAAACAAAACACGCACGATGGCCCACCTACAGGATACTATTCGACAAGGCCTCACATATGAGCGAACTTGATTGACTCACGCACGGCGCACGCGTATTCTTGTGTATGATGGAAGAAAATAAAGAAAATGGTGTACTAAATACTGTGCAGTATTTAACTGCCTAAATAATAATAAAAACACAGAATGTACTTTTTTATGTTGCCTCAAGACACTGAGAGGTAAATAAGTAGTTAATATTATTCATGATAATTCATGCTAAATCATGTATTTCCTCCGCCATTTTCCGCAGTTTGGCGCCTCACGTCACATCATTTTACCGAAGTCAGCCCTATAGCTTCGGCGCAGTGCCGATCATTGACGTTTGTCAACAAAATGGTGCTTGACTCTTGAGACAGGCTAAATTACACCATATTGTTAATGACATTGAGCATACATTTTTTTAAATACCTTCGCGAAGTAAAACTTACAGAAGTTTTACTTTAAAAGGTATTTAAAAAATCGTAGTACTTATTATTATTCTGTGCTTATACATACATATACATAAGGGTCTCAAAATCTCACCTGGGTTTGTCAATACACTGGTTCATAATATCAATGATCTTGGCCTTCGCATCACAAGCTTTCTGCACTGACTCCATGACAATCTTCAGAGGCAGTCCTGGGATCTTGATGTCGGCTTGCAGCGCTGTGATGCCTTTCTTGGAGCCGGCTACCTTGAAATCCATGTCGCCCATGTAGTCTTCTATACCCTAGAGATTGGAGAAAAAGTAGGTTTAGAATAGGGCTACAAGTTTCTGAAAGGTATTAGGAATCTATAAAAAGTTTACCAAAGGCATTTTTATGTGAAATAGTTTTTTAGTTATGAGGGCGACAAAAGTGGCTCCAAATGGTTCGTGTAATATTACACACGGTGCAGCTCGCCAGTTCTGTTACTTGAACTTGGCTAAACACGCTACCTCGTGTCTGGATGTGAATTTGTACGATCCAATCTAGTTTACCAAATAAGTTGAGGACCTTGAAAAATTACCCTAGGTGTGCGACAGGGCAGGGTTTAGGAGACTCGCTGAGTTTTTGGAGAATTTGATACTACACGTAATATTGTAACTACCTAAGAAGAAACACATTTTTAAATATTAAATGATTATTATTTAGGGTGATAGTTTTTTTGTCACGTAACAATTAGCAAGGCCTTTGGTGAAGTGTGAGTCTTTTGTGAAGTGTATCAAGACTCGGCGGAGTGTAACAGTTGTTTATTATATGTAAGTTAATTCTTCTTGGGATGTTTTGTAATTACATTTACAGAAAGTAACATACTATTTTGTATAGTGCACCTATGGCTGTTGGAATGTTAGAGCCTTTAATAATATATAACAAGGCACTTTGTGGAGTGTAACACAACATTTCGTACAGTGTAACAGTTCTCATTATGGAGTGTAACATCGTTGTAAGCATAGCTCTCTGCATTTGACCGGGCCTGTACTACTCAATGGGGCTGCTATTAAATGTGTACATTTGTACAATACTCGTCAGCAGCAGACGCACTAACAAATCGGTCAGTATCCTGTAAACAGCGCTAGAGAACCTCATACCATAGCCTGAGAGCTAGACTCTAAGATTCTCACTAAAGTAGCCTTAGTGTATGTTACAGTGTTATTGGGAGTAAATTGAGTTCTTTGCCAAGGTTTTTATGCGGAATAAAAGTGTTATTTGTAACGGTATCAAGTTTGAGTCTTTTGTAATTTGTAGCATGGTTGCAATGTCATCAAGGTACGCTACGCTTCTGGCAATGTACCAGCTTTTTGGAGGTGGGTAACAGAGCCTTTCGTAAGAGTAAAAAGGCTCTGGGTGGAGTGTAAGAGGGGCTTTTGTGATGTGTAACAAGGCTCTTTCTGGAGTGTAACAGAGCTTTTTGTATAGTGTAATTATGTCAGTTGGTGGAACGTTACAGGGCCTTTAGTATTGTCCAACAAACTCTAGATGCAGTGTGACAGAGTCTAGTTTAACCATAGCTCTTAATGAAATTCGGCAGAGGCATTGGTCCTGTGTGGATCATGATAACAACACATTAATCGTCAGCAGCAGACTCACTAACAAATCGGTCAGTATTCTGTAGTCGGTGAGGGTCGCGCCGTCGTGGCGGAACATCAGGCCGATGATGACCATGACGATGTCCGCTGGTTGGAGTGTAAGAGGGGCTTTTGTGACGTGTAGCAAGGCTCTTTCTGGAGTGTAACAGAGCTTTTTGTATAGTGTAACTATGTCAGTTGGTGGAATGTTACATGGTCTTTAGTGTTGTCCAATAAGCTCTAGATGCAGTGTAACAGAGCCTTGTGTAGCCATAGCTCTTAATAAATTTCGACAGAAACATTGGTCCTTCCTGTGTGGATCATGATAACAACACATTAATCGTCAGCAGCAGACTCACTAACAAATCGGTCAGTATCCTGTAATCCGTGAGGGTCGCGCCGTCGTGGCGGGACACCAGGCCGATGGCCACGCCGGCCGCCGGCGCCGCCAGGCCCACGCCCGCGTCCAAAAGCGCTAGGGAACCGCCGCATACCGACGCCATTGAACTTGAACCTGGGGTAAATACATCATCATTATCATCAGGTTTATCTTAACTGGATGATTTAAGATTTTATCATCATTATATGGACATTAAGGCGCCACTGCAAGAATATGATCGTCTATTTACAAGAGGCAAATAGGTTAAAAAAAGGAAATCAACTGACTAGAAGCGACGCTTCCATTCGTCCGGTTGTTTCTATCAAAGGTCCACTGCTGGACCAAGGATTTCCCCAAAAAAATTTACATCGATTGGTACTGCGTTGCTCTCGTCCTAGTGCTTCCCACGACTCACTAGATCGTCAGTCCATCAAGGGGGATGCCTCTCTACACTATGTCTTCTAACCTGAATTTGGCAGTGTCACACATAGCTTTGCACCGCCCCGACGTCACAGTGACACTCACTTTTTGACTCCAGCACTTCAGCAGTGAGCCACATAGCTTTGCATCGCCCGGCGTCATAGTGACACTCGCCATTTCATTCCAGAACCTCGGTAGTGACATCTTTGCACCACCGCGTCATAGTGACACTCACAGTTTTGATTCCAGCACCTTGACAGAGAGTCACATAGCTTTGCACCGCCCCGGCATCATAGTGACACTCACCATTAGACTCCAGCACCTCTGCAGTGAGCCGCACGGTGTATGACAGCGGCGGCACTATAACTAACCGTAACTATAACCTGCGTTTTTTGTATGGAGTTTGACAGACTTTTGAAGTTTGCAAGCAAGATGGTGTAACCCAGCTAATATCTTACTCACCATTAGACTCCAGCACTTCTGCCGCGAGCCCCACGATGTATGACAGCGGCGGCACTATAACTAACCGTAACTATAACCTGTGTTTTTTGTATGGAGTTTGACAGACTTTTGACGTTTGCAAGCAAGATGGTGTATCCCAGCTAATATCTTCCTCACCGTTGGACTCCAGCACTTCTGCCGTGAGCCGCCCGGCGTAGGGCAGCGGCGGCACCAGCGGCAGCAGCCCGCGCTCCGCCAGCGCGCCGTGGCCCGCCTCGCGCCGCCCCGGCCCGCCCCGCGCCCGCCGAGCCCGGCGCGTGCGAGGGGACTCGTAGTGGAGGAACAACTTCTTGTCAACCAACCTGTGGCATTTGGACAAAGGCCTTCCCCAAGTAATTTAGAACGACTAGCCCAGCGCTGCTCGCGTCTTGGTGCTTCTCACGACTCACTAGATCATCAGTTCAAAGGAGGAACAAGTTCTTTCCAACCAACCTATGGCCTTTGAACAAAGGCTGTCCCCAAGTATTTTAGAACGACTGGTCCAGCGCTGATCACGAATCTCTTAGATCGTCAGTCCATCGAGTGAGATGCCTGTCTACCTTTGGCCTTCGGACAAAGGTCTTCCCCAAGACTTTTTACAACGGTTGCTCCTGCCTTTCTCCTGGTGCTTATCACGACTCACTAGATCGTCAGTCCGTCGAGTGGAATGCGTCTACCTTTGGCCTTCGGACAAAGGTTTTCCCCAAGTAATTTTACGACTGGTCCTGCGTTGCTCTCCTGGTGCTTCTTACGACTCACTAGATCGTCAGTCCATCAAGTGGGATGCCTCTCTACACTATGTCTTCTAATCCGTGATCGCCACTCGAGAACTTACTCACCATTTGACTCCAAGACCTGAATTTTGCAGTGAGTCACATAGCTTTGCACCGTGTCACAGTGACACGCACCATTAGACTCCAACATCTTGGCAATGAGTCACATAGCTTTGCCCCGCCTCGGCGTTACGCGAATGGTGAATCCATTTGACTCTAGAGCATCAGCAGTGAAGCTTTGCACCGCCCGGCGTCATAGTGACACTCGCCATTTCATTCCTTAACCTCGGTCATAGTGACACTCACCATTAGACTCCAGCACCTCTGCAGTAAGCCGCACGGCCCGCCCCGCGCCCGCCGAGCCCGGCGCGTGCGAGGGGACTCGTAGTGGAGGAACAAGTTCTTTACAACCGACATTTGGCATTTGGACAAAGGCCTTCCCCAAGTAATTTAGAACGACTGGTCCAGCGCTGCTCACGAATCTCTTAGATCGTCAGTCCATCGAGTGAGATGCCTGTCTACCTTTGGCCTTCGGACAAAGGTCTTCCCCAAGTAATTTAGAACGACTGGTCCAGCGCTGCTCGCGTCTTGGTGCTTCTGACGACTCTTTAGATCGTCAGCCCATCGAGTGAGATTCTTGTCTACTTTTGTACTTACTTTGGACAAAAGCCTACCCCCAAGAATTTTAGCGACTGGTCCTATGTTGCTCTTCTGGTGCTTCTCACGACTCACTAAATCGTCAGTCCATTGAGTAAGATGTCTGTTTAGAAGTTCTTCTTCCCAACCAAGCTTCTTTCCCCAAGACTTTTTACAACGATTGCTCCTGCCTTCTCCTGGTGCTTATCACGACTCGCTAGATCGTCAGTCCATCGAGTAGGATGCTTGTCTACATTACGTCTTCTGATCCATGGTCGCCACTTCCTCACCATTTGACTCCAAGATCTGTATTCGACAGTGAGTCACATAGCTTTGCACTGCCACTTCATAGTGACACCGATTATTCTAGTTGTATAAATTACTAGTATCACTGCGACCTGTATCGATTTAGTTTTTCTGACAATTGGCCTCCAAGTCCTGCATCTATAAAACACTCACCATTTGACTCTAGTACTTCTGCGGTGAGCCGCACGGCGTAGGGCAGCGGCGGCACCAGCGGCAGCAGCCCGCGCTCCGCCAGCGCGCCGTGGCCCGCCTCGCGCCGCCCCGGCCCGCCGCCGCGGCCTACCTCGCCAGTCGCGTATGACGGGAATTCGTAGTGGAGGAACAAGTTCTTTAAAACCAACCTTCGGCCTTTGGACAAAGGCCTTCCCCAAGTATTTTTACGAATGATCGTGCGTTGCTCGCGTCCACTTCTCAAGACTCACTAGACCGTTAGTCCATCGAGTGAGATGCCTGTCTACCTTTGTATTTACTTTGGACAAAGGCCTACCCCAAGTATTTTTAGAACGACTGGTCCAGCGCTGCTCACGAATCTCTTAGATCGTCAGTCCATCGAGTGAGATACCTGTCTACCTTCGGCCTTTGTACAAAGGTCTTCCCCAAGTAATTTAGAACGACTGGTCCAGCGCTGCTCGCGTCTTGGTGCTTATCACGACTCACTAGATCGTCAGTCCATCGAGTGAAATGCCTATCTACCTTTGGCCTTCGGACAAAGGTCTTCCCCAAGTATTTTTACGAATGATCCTGCGTTGCTCGCGTTTACTTCTCACGACTCACTAGATCGTCAGTCCATCAAGTGAAATGCCTGTCTACCTTTGGTCTTAAGACAAAGGCCTTCCCCAAGAATTTTTACGACTGGTCCTGCGTTGCTCCCCTGGTGCTTATCACGACTCACTAGATCGTCAGTCCATCGAGTGAAAAGGTCATCCCCAAATTTTTTTAAGAATGCTCCTGCGTTGCTTGCGTTTTGATACTTCTCATGACTCACTAGATCGTCAGTCCATCGAGTAGGATGCTTGTCTAGAAGTATTTATTTCCAACCAACCTTTGGCCTTTCGTTAAAGGCCTTCCGCGAGAATTTTTACAAGGACTGGTCCTGCCTTGCTCCCGTCTTCTCACGACTCACTAGATCGTCAGTCCATCGAATAATACACTACATCTTCAAAGGTTTAGTGCGCGTTTACATCTACGCTACGCTTACGCTAGCGACTGCATAAAAAAATGACATTAAAAGTATGAGGAATTGTACATCGACCCTAGAAGATACTTTCAAGAACTAAAATCTTCATAGATTTTTTGACGCACGACGTTTAATGGAAACTCGCAGTAAGCACACTGATCCACGATGTAGAAATCATTGGGGGAAACCTATGTTCCGCAATAGACGATTCCGCATGATTCAGTCGAGTTGGAGAAGCATCCTCACCGTTGGACTCCAGTACTTCTGCGGTGAGCCGCACGGCGTATGGCAGCGGCGGCACCAGCGGCAGCAGCCCGCGCTCCGCCAGCGCGCCGTGGCCCGCCTCGCGCCGCCCCGGCCCGCCGCCGCGCCCTACCTCGCCAGTCGCGTATGAAGGAAACTCATAGTGGAGGAAGAAATTCTTCTCTTTTATACCGCTGCGAAACGTAAAAGTACAGTTTATTATTCTCTCTTATTTGAAATTAAGCTTTTAAAAAGCGTTTTTAGCACTACATGGTGTTAGGTAAAGGGTATATGAGCCGAGACTAGCCCATGTTACTCATCAACAGCCCTTTACAGTCCACTGCTGGACTATGAGCCTCCTCCACTATAGTGGATAAGTGGAGGGTTTTGCCATAATCCCCACGCTTGGCAGGCGGGTTGGAGATCGCAGTTTAAAAGATTGATGTTTTTCAGAGAGCCCCTACTCTTCCCGCGGGTGTCGTAAGAGGCGACTTAGGGACTACACATCAAACAGAGAACGGGCAGCAGCGCTCTCTGAAAAACAGCCCATGTTAACATGGGCATATAAATAGTATGGTGAAGTCAGAAAATGGATATCTTCATTTTAATTATTTTAATTTTCATACAAATCGGATTTTAAAAAATTTATTTTGTTAATTAACAAATATACAGGATATTTGGCTGCATTTCACCTGATGGAAAGCGATAGCCCCGCTAAGTAAAAACTGTTACGACTGTGAACGTTTGGCCGGTACACATCTTCCAACGCTGCGAATTCTAAGGCGTTGTAGTAAGGTTAATTTTGCAATGCTAGGTATGGATAGACTAATGTACCGGCCAGCGCATTCGGTACTTGTTGGGAGCGTAGTATACGAGCGACTCGCAGATAAAATTATCTTATGTTTGAGAAATACATTTTTTTTTATCATAAACATTTCAATCAATGGTAATACTGCACTTGACAAGGCTTTTAGAGGTGAGATTGTCTGTGGTAAAGTGTAACAGGGCCTTTGGTAATGTGTGACAAGGCTTTTTGCGAAATGTAACACCATCATTTGTGGAGTGTAACACAGTGTAGTGAGTGTAGATAAAATAGTGATTGAAACTGTACTTAGCTATTTCTGTAACAACATCATTTGTGGAATGTAACACAGCGTAGTGAGTGTAGATAAAATAGTGATTGAAACTGTACTTATCTATGTATGAATATACAATTTAACTACCCCTTGTTATGCAAGAGTTTCATAAACTTCATAAACTATTATTATAAAACTACCGTGAAAGCTTACCTAGTTAGCATAGTGAGTGTGTCCATTTTTAGAGCGCTGTCGGGCGAGTCGAATGCGACTGTGCATAGCACCTGGGTTTGCCCGCGCTGGAACACCGCGCTGCCATGCAGTGGCTCGTACAATGACACCTGAGAAGCACATACCACGTTAATGGCTCATTTCTATTACTTTTTCTGTCTTGTATTCCAGGTGCTTTATATTAATTAGAGATGAAACGGATATCCGGCAACTATCCGGTAGGCCGGATATCCGGCCCTAATTTACTATCCGGCCGGATACCGGATAGTAACTCACTATCCGGCCGGATACCGGATATTAAAAAAAAACCACAATTTCCTATTAATAAAATGAAATACATCAATCTTTGAGGTAAATATAAATAATATTGCTTACAATAATGACGGCTTTTATTTAAAGTCCAAAAAGTTACAAAAAAGCCATATTAAGGCCTTTCAAAACTAATTTATTTTTCTGGGCTATTCTCTCTAATGACGAATACATAGATAAATAGTAAATATCTGTTAATGTCGAAATATTGCCAAATAAAATAGGCGATTTTTTTTTCACTGATGGTCTGATGACATCATGCAACTACACTGGTCATCACAAAGATCGACCCTCCCGCGACAAGCACTTTCAAACGTATGCATCCCCACTTCCCACCAATATTGGCACCACTTAAAAGCCTAGTTCTAAACTTCATTTCATTAAAGGAAAGGTTTTTACCCCAAAAATGTGTCTGTAGAAGAATCCAGAGTCACTTCTTCAAAAAATAGGTAGTTACGCTTGAGCCGACTTTTATGGCTATAAAACTGTTAAGTTGGAATTAATCGCTATCCATCTGTTAAAGAGGACACGTGAGATCATTATTTGGTTTTATAACCATAAAAATGGGTCTAATTGATCCCAGAGGTGAGCCCAAAGTGAGGTCTTTTTTCAAGTCACATTTATTGTATATCGTGTTTATGTTAATCGTTTATTAAGAAATTAAATGTGTTTTTCTTTAAGGATATTTATTGGGCTTTCAAATAATGCAACGAGACAATGTGCCAACTATCCGGCCGCCGGATATCCGGCTATCCGGCCTAGCAGCTGGCCGGATATCCGGTATCCGGTATCCGGCCAAACAACTATCCGTTTCATCTCTAATATTAATACACATGCCGAAATCGGATACTCTTTTATTTATTTATTTATATTAGGGAAACAAACAATTTTGATATACAGACAAATAATCACACAAAAAATAGGACAGAAATCAGCAAAGTTTGAAGCACCTGTGCGGCGCTATACTCGTCACGACATGCAACGAGACAATGTGCCAACTATCCGGCCGCCGGATATCCGGCTATCCGGCCTAGCAGCTGGCCGGATATCCGGTATCCGGTATCCGGCCAAACAACTATCCGTTTCATCTCTAATATTAATACACATGCCGAAATCGGATACTCTTTTATTTATTTATTTATATTAGGGAAACAAACAATTTTGATATACAGACAAATAATCACACAAAAAATAGGACAGAAATCAGCAAAGTTTCCACAGTTAAAATTAATACAGAGTGCAGACTAAAAATTAATTAAATAGTAATAAATTATACATTAATTTTTAAATGTCAAATAAATACAATGTCAATTTTATAAAATGTCAAACAGTTAAATTTAATAAAAATTATAAAATGTCAAAAAGTTAAATATTAATAAAATTATATAAATTAAAAACACAATAATTATGTAGGTCAAAATTAAAATCAAGTTATATATTCAAACATTCTCTCAATTGTTTTTTATAAGATGGTAAGGAAGAATTAAAAATGTCAATCGTGTTAAACCTATTATTATATTCCTTACAAGATCTAGGTACAAAACTGTTGTTTGCCTTATAAATTGATTGGAACCGATTGCAGTTTGTGAAAAAACATTCAGCGCACGTTTTTTTGGCAGTTGCTTGAGAATGCAAAGATGATCGGCCGTTGCCGCACTCTTCGCGTATTAGAGCTATCACTGATACACATCTGCAGATTTACTCCGAAACGCCCGTTTATTTACTTTCGAGTATATCTGTCACTGTCATTCATGCTGGCATCTTGCTTTGTAAGAGAGAGATGGAAACATTCGAACTACCGCAGGACTTTTGGTAATGACAAAGCTGTAGTATGAATGCGGAGGTTACTCACTTCACAGCTGATATTCCTCAAGTCGTCCAAATGCCGTCTATCGCACCTTACATCAGTCTCAAAGATCATAACCAGCGTTCCTCGGATCACGAGTCCGCCAGTCGCACCTTCGCCATTCAGCTATAGTCGCTTCGTACACATCTCTGTACTGTGATGAAAAAGGCTGTAGTATATTGAATTTTGTACTAACCTCACAGCTGATATTCCTCAAGTCGTCCAAATGCCGTCCATCGCACCTTACATCAGTCTCAAAGATCATGTCCCTGAATATCTGCTTGAGGTTCGCATTGAACGCGTCCTGCAGCTGATTGACGTCTGCTTCGGTGTCGCGGAGCTGGTTTAACACAGTTTGGCGGAGTTCTGAGACAGCTACGTCACGGGATATTTTGTCGTGGGTGTGGTCACTGGTGGAATGAAAGAAATATTTGAAGCTATTTAGGACCGGTTCAATGGGTTCACTGTTGCGACTGCACGAAGGAAACCGAACATCACTCGGCAGTTTATTGTAATAATAATTTAATTTCTCACATTACAAGATAAAATTTCCTCATGCAACTTGCATGAGCTTATGAGAGATATCTATGACATAATTATTTTTATCAATGACGCGACTTGAAAAACAAAATAGGTTTATGTATGGGGGGTTTCTGATATTCAATAGATTATGTTTGTTTAGCTCCTGATTTGAATCTCAGTCTTCTATAACATATTTATAAGTCTAGTTTGACATCCTATTCAGATTATGTACAAGGGTTTTTATTTACAGAATTTTATAATATTATGATAGCATTCTAAAAATATCAGAGGACAGTTGTGAAATAGCAAGTGTTACACTTACTGCATTGAGTAATCAGTGTATATTCTTACCTTAATATTTCTCTTATTTTCATTGAAGACAGTGTTTTGATCGACTCCACTATGCTCTGGTCCAGCGGCGCCTGAGTTTCGAACTCTCTTTTCATCTTGCCGTGGTCTTTTTGTAGCTTTTCTATCGCTCTCACTATGTGTTGAGCTTCTTTAGTTCCTGAACAAAAAGGGACAAATTAGATTCATTGTGTTTAATGGTCATCAGACTTGTACATTTTTGTAGATTAATTTGAACTTAAAGGACAATGGGCAAAATGGTACCCGGCTCCAATAGATATGTGTCTAGTATCGTTTGAAAGGTCTTACCAAGATGAACAACTTTTACTATGACCACCAGCCTCAGATCTGGTTGTGTACGTAGATATACATACTTTTTTGCAGAATGATACCCGGCTCCAATAGTTATGTTTGTAGTGTCATTTGAAAGGTCTTACCAAGACGAACAACATTTACTATGGCCACCAGCCTCAGATCTGGTTGCGTTCGAAGATAATGATACTTTTTGTGTAACCTAAGTATCATGCAGTATGAACGGGGACGCGCTCGGGGCAGGGCACCGACGAGATGGTCGGACGCGGTGAGGAAGACGGTGGGCGGGAGTTTGCATCGTGCGGTCCACACAGCTTATGACCGCAGTCTGTGGAGGAACACTATCTGTGGTCGCGATCCTCATCAGTGAGGGACCGAGGAAGAAGAACAAGAATCATACGTGTCCATCGTATGGTACTAGGCTATGCGAGGCAGGAAGGGTTTACTGCTCCAGCATCCTTCCTTAACTCTATAATTATTGATAGGGATAATTGTGAAATAAATATTTTTATTTAAAGAAGTACTACCCCCTTATTAATAAAAAGTTACACCTAGGAAGAACCTTGGATTAAAATGACATTTCCATACCAAATGACAATTTAAGTCAGAGTTCAACTAGGGTGTAACTTTTATTAATAAAGGGGTTAAAGTTTTATTACTTCTTAAGGGTTTTATTATGAGTTGCTAAAGCGAATAAACCCACAAGACCCAATAAGTCCACCCACAAGATGGACCGACGACCTCATAAAGGTAGCGGGAAGGCGCTGGATGCAGGCCGCCACCAACCGGCCATTGTGGAAATCATTGGGGGAGTCCTATGTTCAACTGGACGTCCTATGGCTAAAATGATCATGATGATGATGATGAAAGCGAATAAAGGGCTAATAGCTTGGATAGTTCATCGTAGGTATAATCCTTTCCTTTTCAATGCTTCTTTTAGTTATATTAATAGATTGTAGTCATAATACATACTCGTATACATGGATGATTGTGTTATACTTTCATTATAATACTTAGTGGAATTACTGCTTTCAAAACGTGAATTAGAACTGGCCCCATAGCAGACATTTTCCTACATCTAAAGGCCTTTTAAAATATATATTGGTTATGGCTATTGGAGCGGGTACCACTTTCCATACATTTGTGCCCATCATCCTTTATAAGAATGAACACTAATGAGAGTCAAAGCACACATGCTAATTTTAGCATCGGCGATCGGTTGCGACTGTATCGATGCAGCATCGCGATTTCGTGACTCCATGCGTTCGAACGTAGTATGACAATCGCGCGTTATAGCGGCTGCTGTCGCTGCATTGAACTTTTGAAAAGCGACTCAATCGGCGCATTTGGCGTTTTTAAATGTTCTTTGTGGAATGTGTGGTTGCTAATGTAGCACTAGCCACTACTACATAAAACAAAAACTCATAAAACTCATTTATTTATGCTTTTAAAAGGCACTTATACACGTCTCAGTATTAACCCTACTACTGCTTCGGGACAATAAATGGGCCAGTGTTTAGAAGAAACAGCGCAAGAAATTTAGTCACTATTGTCAGCCTGTCCTTTTCAGTTTACGTTTACAGTCTAACAAGCCAAAAGTAATATTTATTCCTTGAACTTGAAGACCATTAAGCATGGATATTGGGCTTAACTATTTGTATTGGAATATAAAATAAAACTTACATTCATACCTAATTTGATGGCCCTCAGTAGATCCTGCTGCAGGATGTCCGAAGCGTTTCCCTCCAGCATCACGACCAGGTTGCTCTTCGTAGCCACCACCACCAAGTTCAGGATCGACTTCTCTAGGTCTTTGCGAGTTGGATTCACTATCACTTCGTTGTCGATTTGGCCTACCCTGAAAATAATGAAAAGTTATGAAAATTACAGATTTTAAACTTTTGCTTTCCATTACAATATCCCATCAAACCTTAAGTCACGGTAATTAGTATTACCGTGCTTAAGTGGTTGCTTATGACAGCGTGACAATTGATTATCTGTGGTGTCTCAATTTATGGGGCTTGAAGAGATAAAAAAGAAACAAGAAATTCTGAGAATTATTAATTACTGCAAGATGTGTAAGACATAATAATCAAGGACTGAACAAAAATGTTCTTTGTTTCCTTATTTTGTAATCTGAAAGAACTTTCAGATATAAAGAAACATAATTGAACTATACACATAACAAGGCCTCTATGACACAATGAAATTTATGACAGTTTGGGTCTGCTGCCTTATAATATTGAAATTAATACCTCAGATTGAATTTGTGCTCAATATGAATTAGGTTTTGAGCCTTATTATGACACTGTGGTGGCTCAAAAAGTCCCATCCCATAGAGTTGTTCCAAATAAATAAAAAAATAAAACTTTAGTAAGAATATTGAACACCTAATTGGCTTATGACTAACCTCACAGCACCAACAGGGCCATTCCACGGCACATCGGACAATGCCAAAGCAGCACTGGCAGCGTTAATAGCAATCGTTTCAGGAGGATTCGTTGCGTCAACCGCCAACATGTTACAGACTATTTGCGTGTCATAATTGTAGTTTTGGGGGAAGAGCGGTCGTAAAGACCGATCAATCAGTCTTGAGGTGAGGATTTCTCTTTCTGTTGGACCTGTGTTCAAAAGAAAACATTATATTTATTAAGATTTAAGTCCTTGCAACAACTTTGTTTCTAAATAAGAAACCTGTTTTTTTACTTTTAATTTATTGCAATCAGAAAACTAACCAAATTGGATAAGGTTGAGCAAAATTATATTTTTTAAATAAGTATCTAAGTTGGACAAATATTAATCTAGCTTAATGTTATGAAACTTATGAAGAGCATTGGGGGAGGCCTATGTTCAGCAGTGGACGTCCTATGGCTAAGATGATGATTTATGATGAATTTTATGAAGATGAGATTTTAAATTGACTGTGGTCTATCAAAATTACCCAGTTCTCTTCTCAGAAAGTTGGTAGGTATTCTTCCAGCAGCAGCTGCTTTTTGTCTGTAATCCACAACGAGAGGTAGGAACGAAGCTGGACTCTGCTTTGCTTTTGACACCACCGTTGATAGAACACTGGTGTTCCCGAGTGTGGCCACACACGCTCCGTCTGCGAAGCGTGCGTAGCGGCCGTGGGAGAAGTTTAAATTTAATCTGGAAGGTAAATTGAACATGTTTTAGAAAATACTCCTTATTCTTAGAAAATTACAGGTTTGTAAGGTTTTGATTAATTTTTATAGAACAGTATTGGATCATTATGTTGCTTATATACTCTGTTATATCATAATAAGGACTTATGGCTATTTTTACTGATTGTAGGTAGTAGTTGTGTAAGGTACACTCAATTTGAATATTGGCAAAGCCATGATGCTAAAAATGTTTCTATCATTAAAATTATGCGTTATATGTAACCGCCTCTGTGGTCTAGTGGTTAGACCACCTGCTTCAGACGCAGAGGTCCCGGGTTCGATTCCCAGTGGGGGCAGATTTTTCTGTTCGGTTTGGTTGGTGGTAGGGCTTGTTCTAAGTCCGCCTGGCTAGCTACCACCATCTTACCTAAGTCTGTCGCCATAACAACAATGTTAACAGCATTATTGTGTTCCGACAGTTAGAGGTAAGATAGCCAGTTCCTCCGTGGTTGAGGATTCCGGGTGAAGCTCGCTTCCACCTTCGGCCTGATCGTCACTTACCATCAGGTGAGATACAGGTCAAGAGCTTCNAAAAAAAAAAAAAAAAAAAAAAAATGTACATTATTTATTAGTTGGGAAGTACACTCAAGGTTCATTGTAACATTCTTGGCAACAAAACATAACCTATCATAACCTCAAACTTACCCATTAGAAAAAGAAACATCCATTTCTTTGGCGCTGGTTTGTGACGAGAAATAGCGGCAGTGATAAACGGATTGAGCCCTCAATTTGGGCAAAAGTTTGTAATGTTTCGACAACATTTTCATAGAATCTTTTGAGTTTCACATTCACTAGAATAACACTTTTTTTACTATTTCGATTTTTTGATGATAAATAGCAATGAATATGTTGTAAGATGTATGGTTTTTCTTTAATTTTTTTCACAAAATATTCACGAAATAATTTCAGGAACAAAATTATAATTAATCAGCTGACTGACAACCGGGATTTTTCAGAATTTTGACAGATCGGGAGCTGTCAATGTCAGTACTGCTGAAATGGTTCCGTTTCCTTCCATAACTTATATGTTTTTAGTTTCGTGTACAGTTTGGTTAATTATACTGTAAATAAAAGCTTTATTACAGCTTAAATTTGAGATAAAAAATATTAATTAATTATTGTAAAACTGTTAATAAATAATATCGGAACACGTCTTGAATCAGCTGATTGTCATCATTGTGTCAAAATATGTTTTGATGTGATGTGAGGTTAAGTTGTTTTCCTTTAGTGAAATAGTCATTTTATTAATTAAAATCTATTTGTACAGTGAACAGCGATGAAAAAAGTTCAAGGAAATGATCCATTTCAACGAATGAACTTCCTATATCAAGTGAGTATGCTATTTAGTACTAGTTAATAAGCTAAATAAGTTTCTACTTCTATAGTATAAAACGTAACGTTTTAAATATTTCAGATAAGCAAATTCATAGCCGATAAGAACCCCGCACTATCTTCATATTATGGGAATCTCATGGGAAACGTTGCCAAGAAGACTGTTCTAAAAATGTGAGTACTTACTGTGTGCTATTACATCTTAAAAGTAACTACTATTATTCCCTTTCTACGTATGGAATATTAGGTGTTGTTCTTTCTTAATTAAAATCTTAGATTAATAATGATGTTCAAGAGTGCTTGCAGGTTGCCTGTAACATGCTATGTTTTGTTTAAACCTCTCTAAAATAATTAAGGAATGATTTTAGTGATGTAACTCATATTTTGAGAAAGTAACATGCACCCTTGATGCCAGCAAACACATTCCAATTCTATGAAAGTGGTAGTTAGGTCACTATGGTTCCAAACTCTCAGTGGTGTCTCGTGGACCTAATGCCCATGGCCTAAAGACCATGTTTGCCTGGCAGGATATTATTATTGTAATTAATTTAATAAAAAGCAAGCAATAAACAATGTCTAAAACTGTGGTAATATTTTTTCAGACATCCAGAACTAAAGAGGCAATTCTGCAAAAAGTGCAAATGCATACTGATAGACAATGTCTCTGCCAAAATGAAAATTAAGACGATAAAGAATTCAAAAGTCATGCAGTGGACTTGCAACACTTGTGGAACAAAGAGGGTGTTGCCAGCTGATAAAGGTAAAGACCACAGAATATGGTATGAGAAACCAGAGGCTGTTGTGGAAGTTATTGTAAGTTGATAAATAAATTTTATTATATAAACTTTTGATTTTTTTCTGATTGATTGTTAAGTAACTTTCAAGTTCTCAGATCAGGCGATATTGAATAGAAATTAAATCGAAATTGGAAATATTGCATGTACTTAAAATATAAAACAAAAATATTTGTTTTAACTTTATCTTTTTTTACAATGACTGGAGAGAAACAACATTACTTTTAAATATTACAGTTTTAAATATTGATGTACTTAGGTATCCCTTTATAGTGCTATGTAAAATGGACACATTTTACTGCTGACCCAACTGGAATCGAACCAGTGCCTTATGAGTCAGTTTGCTCCTATAAAATATGGCGAATTGAGATGCTGTGCCTGCATAAAACAGAAGTTTTTGCATAAAATGGTTATATTGCCCTACTACTTATTAGAAATGGGACAGCTTGCAACTTTGTGAGGCATTTTGTTACGCTTCTAGCTCTCAGCTTATACACATACATCAAATAATTTAAAAGACTATGATGAAGTTATGGTTTTTGAATTCACGCTACCGATATTGCGGGCGTACGATAGTCTTTAATAAACTAATTAAACGGATGCATAAAACATAAACGCATCGCGAAACTCCAATTGGATAGCGATTAATATGCCAGCCAACCGCATATCTGCGTTACGGACACGGCAGTCCATTCAAAATGCATATCGAAATATTCTGACAAACCCAACTCTGTAATCCGCTATTGCCGTATTCGGCGGCTATAGCATATAACCGTGAATGCTGTGATTTTTGGTCGCTCAAACCGGGGTCGGAACGGCCTGCATTATGCATGAAGGCTAGGGTTGGCCGTTGGTCGAACAATTAGGTTTTAGTGGGACATTCGTTGATGCGACTAAGAGAGAGTTGTGCGATCATCGGGCTTTCGCACGTTCCAACTCATCTAACCCTTTAGACAAGTGGCAAAAAATTACAGTAGTAGGTAGGTAATTTGATTCGAAATGGTTTGACTCCCGGGCTTTTACTTCGCTTCGTTAAGCGATTCCTAATTACAACTGTTACGTTTTGGCACTTGTCTAGGGGGCATTTGGAGTGTCGGCCATATGCTCCATTGGCCTCTGGTTTTGAGAGCTGCGTTCCTGCATTGGATACTGGAGGTAGACAATAGTTAACTACCTATCTTGTGTGTGAGAGATAAAGTTTTTAGTGCCTAACTCTTGCTGGTTACGATTTTTCCAATGGGACATTGAGAACAAGATTTTCGGGACTGTCCCATTAAATTCCCTCACTTGGCAACCCTAAAAACCATTGGCCGCGCCATATATCAAACGTTGGATTTGCAAGTAATGCATTTGGTTTTAAAATAACATTCATGTGTTTAGTTTCTTTTTCTAATCTAGCATTGCTTTTGTTTGGAACTTTGGTGATATATCACTGAGTTAGACTGGTCTGTTGGAAACTTTCGTAGTTGTCAAGTATTTTTCAGGTCAACATCTCTCTGGTTCTACTTTAGAAGAAGGATACCTACTGTTGTTTGGTTTCATGTGACTTTATCTAGTCTAAACCACATGTTCTCAAATATAGTCTGGTCTGCGAGCACGTAGAATTTTGTCCAATGACCCCAAGCTACCCATCCTTATCGCTCGCGCGTAATTATGTTGCTGTCGCGTTCGCACACTCACTGCGGGCACCCGTCGCACAGACAGCAATATAATTACGCGCGAGCGATAAGGATGGGTAGCTTGGGGTCATTGGACAAAATTCTACGTGCTCATAGACCGGGATTTAGACATGCGCATAATAAATAGACATAAACTACGTCTACGTGAGGAGGCCACCAACTCGGTGGACCGATGATCTAGTAAAGGTTGCAGGAAGCGCTTGGATGCTTGCAGCGCAAGACCAGTTATAAGTGACTATTCCCACCTCTCGTTCCCACCGCGGATCTACAGCTTGACCGCCAATAAAAAACCCAGCCAGTGAAGGTCAAGTTTGTCCCGGGGGAAGTTAAAAGACCAGTTATGGTGGACATTCTCGGGGGAAAGTCTTTGTCCAGCAGTTGTAATTTTTTCATAAAATTACTTCATACATCAGCTTGTACAGTACAAGAACTTGGCTTCACTCACCGCCGAGCTTCTGAAACTAAGTAATTGTGTATAAGATCCATCCATTACTATTCGGGTGTATTACGTGAAATTTAATTATGCCCACCCTCCAGACGTCTCGATTCATTACGCAGACAATGTTTATGTAATGCCACAGTGGAAAAAGATAAAAAAGGCTAAGTTCGACGGTATACGTACAACCCTATCGAGTTAACCTGGCAGCAATGACGTCACATCGACACTGGTACGGACGGGACCTGGCAGCCGTGCGTGACGTCACATCGCACTGGTACGGATGAATGCGGGGAGGTAGGTGAGTGCTAGGAAGAGTCGAGCGAGGTGCGCAGTTAACTCGATCGGATTGTACTAGAATAACAAGGTCCAGTCTATCACTGGACAAACATTTATCAAATTGACTTGGGGAGTTGTTAATTCTTGACAAACAGTCACATTTTCAACAATTTTCATTCAACTTAATCATCTACTTTACCTACTACCTATTTCTAACACAATTTATTTGTTGACTAGTGGCCGCCCGCGACTTCGTACGCATAGATCCCGTTTTACCCCCTTAGGGGTGGAGTTTCGTAAAATCCTTTCTTAACGGATGCCTACGTCATAACATCTACCTACTTACATGCCACATTTCAGCCCACTATGTCAGTCAGTCAGTCACCTTTGAGTTACCAAAGCTAACGAAATAAACTGGCGCTTCTATGTATATTTCGAGTGTGGAGTCTAAACACTAGATTACTTTGCAGAAAGTACAATCTCAAAATTCAGCATTTTGTTGGTACAATCCATCTTATAATTAGACTAGAGAGATGCAAAGAAAATATTAAACTCTCAAGAGTTTCCCTAGAAACTAAAGTAATTGTATTTTCTAGCTTTTGAGAAGTGCAAGATGTGATAATAAGCAACTTTGGTAATACCTACATCTGTTTAGCAAAATTACTGTAGAATAGGTAGAGCAAATGCACAAATAATGTACAAAATGTTAGTACTAGAATTTATTTGAGTGCCATATAAATTATTAACGCAACCAAAACAGAATGCCCTGAATACATAATTACGTCTGTTATTTTAAAACGATTGGATTGGAAAACAAAGGTAAAAGTATCATCAAAATCTAAATTACTGCCCATCGGCCAACCTTTCCAATATATTGAAATCGCGTAGTAAAAATTCAACGTGCCCCGCATTTCGCAATTTTATAGGCGGTGCAATAAATATTTTATGGGAAACTGCTTTAGGGCTTCAGCATCGAAATACGGAGATTGGATCTGTAGACATGTAGCCATAAGATGAAAGTCATCTCATTCCTCGTTTTACTTACCACATTCGTCTCAATCACTCGCTCATCAACGTACTCTGAAGTAAAGGACAATATCCTGACGTTTCTACAACGGTCAATAGCTGGCTCAAAAGATGAAGTCCCAAATCTCGACTACAAAAAAGAAAGAAAGAAGGATCTTCAAGACGCAAAAACAGCACAACTCAAAGCGAAAATGTTAAAGAATGTGAAAAAGAAGAAGGAAAAAGACCAGCCTGTAATACATCAAATGAAAGATCAAAACATAGGCAGACAGAGGTTCCACATGGATCCGGTGCTAAACTTCTTGAGTCGAAGGTCAAGCAGCAAGAACAAGGGCAAAGATAAATCAGTATCGTCCAGTTCCAGCGTTGAGCTCCAGGACTGGAAAGATGAATGGAAGGAGCACTGGATACAGAAGAAGTTTGACGCAATCAATTCTTCTGCGCCTAGAGGAGATACTGTCAATATGCTTGCAGCTAGTAAGTATATTACTTCACCAACTCTGTAATTTAGAAACTCCGTGTTTAATACTTACTCATATTCCAGATTTTTTTTTATCAGGTAACAAGTTAAGAGTCATTTAAAATATACTCAACATCAAATAAACCGCACCTTCCGCGACGCGAACTTTAACGATTTTCTTCTGACACAATCATGGTACCCCAACAAAATTGGTGTTATTTGAAAGCCCAATAAATATCCCTAAAGAAAAACACATTTAATTTCTTAATAAATGATTAACATATACCATAAATGTGACTTGAAAAAATACCTCACTTTGGGCCCACCTATGGGATCAATTAGACCAAATTTTATGGTTATAAAACCAAATAATGATTTCACATGTCCTCTTTAACAGATGGATAGCAATTAAACCCAACTTAACAGTTTTATAGCCATAAAAGTTGGCTCTAGCGTAACTACCTATTTTTTGAAGAAGTGACTCTGGATCCTTCTAAAGACACATTTTTGGGGTTAAAACCTCTCCTTTAATTAAATGAAGGTTAGAACTAGGCTTTTAAATGGTACCAATATTGGTAGGAAGTGGGGATGCATACGTTTGAAAATGCTTGTCGCGGGAGGTGCGATTTATTTGACGTCGAGTGTAGTAATCATTGCATTAAAATCACAAATGCCCCTCAAGTTACATCAAATAAACGTAGTCATACCTTTTATACACACAAAATCATCAAAATCTCATTTTAATAGATGAATCAAATCGATTAATTAGTGATAACACCTTAAATCCCTTGCACAGGGCCGTGGGGAGTTCCGTGTGGGGATCCGAACCAACACGACATGCCTTGGGGATCCTGCATGCTGCCAATGGAATGCGAATCCGAATACAGGATATACAGAGGAGACTACTTCTGCGGGAGAACCCAGTTCGTTTGCTGCGCTCTACAGTTAACTACCTACGATATGTACCAAGGATTCGACGTCTCATTTGCCGATTCAAGTCTCGCCACAGATTCCGAAGAAAAAAGGAACCGCGAAATGGGATCGAAAGAACGAAGACGAAAAAAGAAGGCACGAGAAAAGAGACGTCGTAGGCGCCAGAGATTGAAGCGTAAAAGACAAATAAAGAGAAACATCAGGAAAATTATTAAAGAAATCAAAAGGATTCTGAAC